CTGTGGAACAGAATTTTTTCCTGTAAAATTAATAAACTAAATGTAGTCAAATTTACAGGTTTAACCCTGGTTTAGCACAGAAAGAGAACAGAGATAGCAATGGAATCCTGCTATTGTTTCTACCAGGCAGTGTAATGTCTTCTAAAAATTATCTATAAATCCTACGAATATTTATCTGCTGGATTTTGAAATGTTTTTGTTCAACCTAAAACTATGAAAGAGATATGGGTCCTACTGGTTTGTAACTTACACCTTAAAAAACAAAAGCTAATAAACTTATTTTGCTACAATTTTTTCATCCTCAAAGCTCAGAACAGAGTAAACTGTCAGCAAAGGATAATTTGCTTATATTTTAAGCAAAAATGTTAACATTAGTACTATTCACATTTTCACAGACTTTCAAAATGAGAGCTCAGAATATTGAAATGACACTTTAAAAACTATTTTAAGTGGTTTTGTTCATATTAAATTTAAAAAATATTTTATTCTGAATCTATAAAGAAGTAAAAATATAATTTGAATTTTTTTTTTAACTAGGTGACAAGGGTTAACTGATCCATTTATTCTCCAGGATTACTCTTGACAGGCTGATTCTTCAGTATCAGCAAGCCACAAAATTCTGTTTAGTTTAATTTCACCAGGATAAAGACTTCCTGAAATTCCTTCGGGTCAATTAATTCAGCTAAAATGATCAGTCCTTATAATCTCATGAGATTGCACAAATTTTCATCATACCCTTTTGTATTACTATTTTAAATTGCATAAATAATATGTGAATATAGGCTCATTGGCAGGGAAATGTAGGTTTTTGCTGAAAAGGGTAAGGGAGACATGAATAATGAAATCAATCAAAATTATTGATACCAATAATGTAAGGCATTATTCTTGAGATAACATGTTACATGTTATTTAATCCTAACCAGGAAGCGACAGAGTTGGAATTTAGATTTAGGTCTGATTATCAAATTGTAGTAATCAAACTGTGAGGTGATGAAGGCTGTATTAATACTGGAGCAGTGAAAATAGTGAAGTAATTAATACATAAGAACAAATTTGAAAGTAACATTAACAAATTGTGATAATCTGTTAAAATTAGGAGATATAGAAGAAGAATGAACCATAAATAACTCTAAAACTTGAGAAGCTATGACAATGAAGACTGGGTTTTTTTAGTTATACAGGAAAAAATATCTAATAGGTAACTCTAGATGTAATAGAGTGGCTCAGGCAAGAGAAAAGAACTAGAGCTGTTTGTTATTTTTATCTCAGGCGCATAGATTACTCAAACCTTGGTTAATGACACTCTCATTCATGCATGACCTACTTTTATTGGGCAATTACTGTTAAAAATATAGTCAGCACTCACAGATCTACTAAATGACCAAAGTTAAGAACTTGTTAATAATTACATGGAATCAAGTCCACCTCCCTCCTACCATATTTTCTCCTGCCACAAAAGGAAACTTTAGCCCCAGATGGCTTCACTGGGAAGTTTTTGCAAACATTTAAGGAAAAACTAATGCCAATTCTGTATGAAACATAAAGAAAAGGAAGAAATTTCTTAGGGAAAATTAAAGAAAAGGAAATACTTCTCAACTCATTCTATGAGAGCAGTATTACTCTGTTAACAAAAACAGATGTTATAAGAAAAAAAAATCTGCAGACCAATATGCTTTATAAACATGGATGCAAAACTTCTCAAAAGTTTTTATCAAATTATCAGTATGTTAAAGGATAATGCATGATGAATTTTATCCTGGGAATATAAAGTCTATCAATGCAAAGAAATAGAGGAAAACAACAGAATGGAAAAGACTAGAGATCTCTTCAAGAAAATTAGAGATACCAAGGGAACATTTCATGCAAAGGTGGCCTCAATAAAGGACAGAAATGGTGTGGACCTAACAGAAGCAGAAGATATTAAGAAGAGGTGGCAAGAATACACAGAAGAACTGTACAAAAAAGATCTTCACAACCCAGATAATCACAATGGTGTGATCACTCACCTAGAGCCAGACATCCTGGAATGTGAAGTCAGTTGGGCCTTAGAAAGCATCACTATGAACAAAGCTAGTGGAGGTGATGGAATTCCCATTGAGCTATTTCAAATCCTGAAAGATGACACTGTGAAAGTGCTGCAGTCAATATGTCAGCAAATTCTGAAAACTTAGCAATGGCCACAGGACTGGAAAAGGTCAGTTTTCATTCCAATCCCAAAGAAAGGCAATGCCAAAGAATGCTCAAACTACTGCACAATTACACTCATCTCACACGCTAGTAAAGTAATGCTCAAAATTCTCCAAGCCAGGCTTCAGCAATACGTGAACCATGAACTTCCAGATGTTCAAGCTGGTTTTAGAAAAGGCAGAGGAACCAGAGATCAAATTGCCAACATCCGCTGGATCATAGAAATAGCAAGAGAGTTCCAGAAAAACATCTATTTCTGCTTTATTGACTATGCCAAAGCCTTTGACTGTGTGGATCATGATAAACTGTGGAAAATTCTGAAAGAGATGGGAATACCAGATCGCTTGACCTGCCTCTTGAGAAACCTATTTGCAGGTCAGGAAGCAACAGTTAGAACTGGACATGGAACAACAGACTGGTTCCAAATAGGAAAAGGAGTATGTCAAGACTGTATATGTATGTATGTATACATATGTATATATGTATGTCAAGATTGCCGGGAGAAATATCAATAACCTCAGATATGCAGATGACACCACCCTTATGGCAGAAAGGGGAGAAGAACTAAAGAGCCTCTTGATGAAAGTGAAAGAGGAGAGTGAAAAAGTTGGCGTAAAGCTCAACATTCAGAAAACTAAGGTCATGGCATCTGGTCCCATCACTTCATGGGAAATAGATGGGGAAACAGTGGAAACAGCAGCAGACTTTCTTTTTTTGGGCTTCAAAATCACTGCAGATGGTGACTGCGGCCGTGAAATTAAAAGACTCCTTAGAAGGAAAGTTATGACCAAACTAGATAGCATAAAAAGCAGAGATATTACTTTGCCAACAAAGGTCCATCTGGTCAAGGCTATGGTTTTTCCAGTGGTCATGTATGGATGTGAGAGTTGGACTGTGAAGAAAGCTGAGTGCTGAAAAATTGATGCTTTTGAACTGTGGTGTTAGAGAAGACTCTTGAGAGTCCCTTGGACTGCAAGGAGATCCATCCAGTCCATCCTGAAGGAGATAAGTCCTGGGTGTTCATTAGAAGGACTGATGCTGAAGCTGAAACTCTAATACTTTGGCCACCTCATGCAAAGAGTTGACTCATTGGAAAGGACCCTGATGCTGGGAGGGATTGGGGGCAGGAGAAGAAGGGGACGACAGAGGATGAGATGGCTGGATGGCATCACCAACTCGACGGACATGAGTTTGGGTAAACTCTGGGAGTTGGTGATGGATAGGGAGGCCTGGTGTGCTGCGATTCATGGAGTCGCAAAGAGTCAGATACCACTAAGCGACTGAACTGAACTGAACTGAACTAAGTGTTGATGAAGATGCAGAGAAAGTATAGCTCTCATACAATATTCATGGGAAGATAAAATAGTACAGCCATTTAGAAAACAGCTTGGCAGTTCTTTAAAAAGTTGAACATACATTTACCATAAGGCCTAGCCATTATAATTCATTTATTTACCGAAGAGAAATAAAAAAGCATATGTCCACACAAAGACTTGTACGTGAATATTCATACCAGCTTTATTTGTAGTAGTCATTGGAAACAACTTAAATGTCCATCTGCAGATGAATGATTAACAGTGGTTAGCTCTGGTATTTCATACAATGGAATATTACTCAGTAATAAAAAGAAATGAACTTTTGACATATGCAACGGCATGGATGAATCTCAAAATAATTATGCATGGTGAAAGAAGCTGAACAGTAGAGTATGTATGATTCCTTTCATAGAAAATTTAAACTAATCTACAAATGACCGAAAGCATTATCTGCCTAGGAATGGAGGTGGGAACAGTTGAAAGAAAAGGGAGGTTAAGGAGATCTGAGAATACTTTTCTGGGTGTAAGTATATATTCAGTTCTTTTCTTTCTTTCTTCTTGTTTTTGTTGCACTGTGTGGCTTCTGGGATCTCAGGTTCCTAACCAGTGATTGGACACAGGCCACGGCAGTGAAAGTGCTGAGTTCTAACCCCTGGACCACCAGGGAATCCCTATGTATTTATACCTTGATTGTACTGATAGTGACCTGGGTACATACATATGTCAGAACTTATTGAACTGTGCACTTTCAAAGAGTATAGCTTACTGTATGTCTATTATACCTTTGAATTTTTTAAAAATTAAAAGTTTAAAACCAATAGACAAATTAAAATAAAATTCTAAAAAATGTTCAGTCAGTACCGAAGTAGGCAGCAAAGGGGAATGGCATATGCCATATGCACAGACGTGCATGCATATGCATTGTTAAAAGTTTGAAATTACATGAAATAAAAATGACAGAATTAAAGGAATAGACAATTCCACATAGGTTAAGAACTAGACCAAAACAAATGTTTTTTAGTAAAGACATAGAAGATCCAAATAACATGCTCAACCACCTTGACCTCATTGATAATTATAGAATAATACATGTCAGTGTATGACAAAAACCACTACAATATTGTAATTAGCCTCCAACTAATAAAAATAAATGAAAAAAAATAAAATTCTCAGGTTTGCAAAAAAAAAAGAATAATACATCCAATAACTGCATCCAATAACAATACAAATTCTTTGCACAGGCACTTGATACTTTCACTAAACTATTTTGGGTTATTAACTTATAAGGATTTTTTAACACCATGCACCTTATACCTTCTATACCCTAAATCTTAGGGAAAGAGCTGAGAGTTACTATAATTAATTATGTGCTTAGATTATGTCATTATTTTTTGAGGAGTAATAAATGTGCTATTTCTATTTATAAAGATATTTATATAGCACATTAAAAAATTAAGTCATCAAAAATTCTTACTCAATACTAATATTTTTTTTCAGGTGCAAAAAATTACAAAGCTTCATAATCACCTCAAGACCACATAGAGCAAACATGAATGATATTTCCCAAAAGGCTGAGGTAAGCTTTTTAATTTAAAAGTTAAAAAATGGGGGAATCATAGAGTTGACTGCACAACTGCTGCAAGGGCAACTGGTGGAAAGGTCATCCACAGAAGTTCATAGTAACATAGTGTCAAGATGTAAGACATAAGAAGAGATAAAATTCACAGGTTGGTCTAGGGCCCAGTATTTTCATTTGGATTCTTATCTAGGAAGCATGACTATAAAATTTTGTGTGTGATGGTAAAATGGATGTGATGGCTAGCATCTTGAGTAAATTTTAACATGATATATCTTAGAAGATATATTTAGAAGTTGTTTTTTCAGTATTAAAAAAACCAGAATTGATATATACTCTTACGAGAAATCAATGACACCATAAGTAGAAAATAAAATAGAGGCTGTGTATGCCACAAGTTAATTAATCAGTTTGCCATTATCACTAGGAGAAGGAGTTTGGTGTTCTGAGGTGATGAAGTTTTATTTACTGAAACTTCTTTTAGAGATCAGTGTAATTTTCAAAAAGATGAAAGTAATTTGCTTTCCTGGTTTCAGAATGGAGGAAACCTGTTTCTCCAGTCTTTTAACAGATTCCTCCTCATTTGGAAAGCTTGTTTGTCATTTGGGAATTTCTCCTTAGAGCACATCCTACTTGGAATGATATAGCATTCTCACGTATTTTCAGTGTTGGCTTAAAGAAGTTCTAGATGGGCAGTATAGCAGTAGTAACAACAAAAATCACTGCTTGTGCACAAAGACCATGGCTCACCTCAACCACAAATGAGAAGCAAAGGCTCTTCAGTTTTCTTCATATTAGATACAGAAACAAGCAAGAAAATCAATATGTAAATTAGGCTTAAGTTTTTTGCTTTGTTTTCGACTTATCTAACTTACTAAAATTAGACTTGGTATCTTTTAAGCAAGCAATGTAAAATTTGAATCTTAAATAATGAAATAGGTCAGTAGAATACAGGTTGTTTTGAATTGGAATCCAGTCTTCAATGTTTATATTTTTCCAGCTTTCAGCTTCAGTGGAACACATATAAAATGGGGCTTCGTTGCAATATATTAGTAACATTTTACTCTCATATTTTCTGCAATATCATCTTTCATACTTAGATTTTAGAAGGTATCTAATCAGATTCTTATACAAATAAAGGTTTCAAACTCATTTCTATATTCTGTTTTGATAAATATTTCTTATATTGCTTATTCTGATCTATCTTTACCTAATTTCTTCCTTTCTTATTTTTTTAACTTTCTTCTCTTTATTTTCTTCTAACGAAGATTCTGCTTTCTTCATCTAAACCTATACCAAAAACCTATGTGCCAAAACTTGGCAAGGGTGATGTAAAGGATAAGTTTGAAGCCATGCAGAGAGCAAGGGAAGAAAGAAATCAAAGGAGATCTAGAGACGAAAAGCAAAGAAGAAAAGAACAATATATTAGAGAGAGAGAATGGAACAGGAGAAAGCAGGAGGTTATTTTATTTTATTTTTATTTCATTCTTGTGCAAATATTCATTTTCATCATTTAAATTCACATTTTATTTATTATTCACATTAACCACATTTCATATTAATCTGTACTTAAAATATTTTCCGCATTTATAAGCTAATTTCAAACTCTGCATATAATATGATTTAGTCTGAAGTTTGGACATGTTCATATTAATTTATTTACCCATCTAGATTAAAGAAATGCTTGCTTCTGATGATGAAGAAGAGGTATCTTCTAAAGTAGAAAAGGCTTACGTCCCAAAGCTAACAGGTAAGGCACTTGAGGGGTAAATTGTAAATAAAACTGCAAACAAGGAAACAAAACAAAATGTCAAACTTGTTTCATATATTCCTAGGAACTGTTAAAGGTAAATTTGCTGAAATGGAGAAACAAAGACAAGAGGAGCAGAGGAAGAGGACGGAGGAGGAACGAAAACGCCGAATTGAGCAGGATCTTTTAGAGAAGAGGAAGATACAGCGTGAATTAGCAAGAAGGGCTGAGCAGGTATACAATAGATATTAAGTCAGTAATTGCTTCAGAAACTAATTGTACAGAGTAAAACTAACCAGTATGTTGCCTAATCAAAGTGTTTTATTATAACATAAGCCTATTAAATAGCAGCTAGCATGAAAGTAAGGTCTTAAGCACAATATTTAATATCGAATGCCTAGAAGGATAAGGGCAGAATGTGTCTATTTCAAGGTTGAGTACTGAGATAACTTTTGTTATATACTGTCTTATTCTGTCCACATTCTATATTTTTCTTGACACATTAGAAAATTTTACAAAGATATAAGGCAAATTCACACATAAATTATCCAGACATGTAACAAAATGCTGATCTTTTAATAACAATAAAAAATGCTTGCTGGTTATTATCAAGCACTAACGCTTAATTAGAATATCTTCCTGCTCAATTATTTGTAACATGTAACAAAATTAAGTCACATTTTATTCAATAATGGTATTATTAGCAAGTTGGGGATGGTAGTAGGAGAGGGGAGATACATGTGACAGTCATGTCCTTCACGTAGCCATTCCTGATGCCCATAGCCATGAAGGACAAACTAGAAGAAGAAAGACATCATTACTATGATTTTATAGAATCTCTTAATGAACTTAAAGTTCCCATATATTTTCTGCTCAAAGGATGAGACCTTAGAGGCTGGTAAAGATTTTAAAATACTCAAGAATCTGATCTAAGTTCCAGAAAAAGTTAATCTCTCAAAATGATTAATGATTGTCATGACATAGAAACTTGAAATTCTAATAGTCAAAATTAACATTTTATTAAGTAAAGAACTGATCAGTTCACAGAAATTTCTCTAATATATTGATATTTGTTTTATATTATAAATGATCTGTAGTCATAGAGTTGAAAAAAAATGCCAGAAGACAGTTATATTGCTTATTTACTTTAACCTTATCTATAATGTAGGATCAAAAGAGATGATTAATATACTGATTTTAGTGAGACTAAACTAGTACAATAATGGTATTTATCAGAGTTTTTATTAAGATTATATGAGTTAATAAATGCAAGCATTTAGGACAGTGCCTGGTACAAAGTAAGAGGGCTATAAATGAATGTTTCACCTAAATAGTAGTACATATAATTAAATGTCATGAAACCATTTTAGTTTTCCCTTCTCTCATCAACATTTTAACAATTTCCCTAATATAATCTTCACAGTATATTGTCTGTCTCATAACCATGTTTACTGTGAGGTTGTACTTGGCTCCTTTTCGCCTTTGCTTTAAGTGTCTTAAATCTATTTGCTGGGCTTCTTTCAGTTCCTACAACTCTTCTGAAAAAAAGTGACAGGGACTTCCCTGGCAGTCCAGTGGTTAGGACAGCGTTTTCTCTGCTGGGAGTCCAGGTTCGATCCTTGGTCAAGGAACTAAGATCCTACAAGCTGCAGAGCATGGCCAAACAAACAAACAAAAACCCCAAACAAACAGAAAAGTGACAAAGAAGGCAAAGCATATGCCATATTTGCATGTCAAGGAAATTTATTTACTCTGACTTTGTGAATAACCACTTTTATGGCACAAGTAGCCATTTGTGTGGTGTCAAATAATGATATATGCCAGATGAAATTATAGAAAAGAATTGGGATTTTCTATATTTTATTACTTCATATCTCTTTGTGTAAAGAGAGAATGGCATACTTTACCTCTGTCACCTCCAGTCATCAAAGATTAGGATTCATTTTGAAGTGAAATTTCAGAAGGGAGGACAATTATAAAAAAATGAACATTTTAGGTTATATGTTATAAAACATATCAATATATATAATTATATTTATAATACAAATTGTAAAAGAACATAATAAAATTATAGTAAAATATATAATTAAAATATATGGTGCTTGGCAAGAAATAAAGAGTATACACATGGGGTTAGTCTACTTCTTTTAAATCTTGCATTCTTTTCTAAGAAGCACTGATTACACACTAGACTTTGAGACCCACTACAACCCCATGAACTGAATATGCAGGCAGTGGTTTCACAAAGAACTATGTATGTGTTGAAGAGGTGAATTTGAATGTGATGAAGACATAGGGTACTCAGAAAGAAATGGAAAAAAGCTAATCATGAAAAAGAACCACTTTAGTAACCGTAGATACTGCATGGCAAGAGAATCTTGGTTAATAAAAATTTTAGCCTATTGAATTATTTGAGAATATGTGGGTAGAACAATATAAACCATTAATAGTAATTTCATTTTGTAAATATGGGAAATCTAATTTTAAAACCTAATTAAGTACATTTTCCACTCAAATCTAATAAAATTTATCTATCTTTGAATATAAGAATTAAAGCATGATATAGGTAGTTAAGAAGAGTCTTAATGAAAAATCATCTTGTATAAGTCCATTACTTTACATAGGATTTTTGAGTCAGATGAGTAGCTGAATAATGTTTGAAATAATTACCAATTCTAAGATTCTAGATTATTTTTGTTGTTCAGTCATGTCCAACTCCTGGCAACCCCATGGACTGCAGCACACCAGGCTTCCCTGTCCTTCACCATCTCCTGGAGCTTGCTCAAACTCATGTCCATTGAGTTGGTGATGCCATCCAACTATTTCATCCTCTGTCGTCCCCTTCTTATTATGATGAATTAAAAATAGAAATATTTTGTATACAGCATGTTGGAATCAAACACCAATAAAATTTGGGGGAGATCTTAATTTGGTATAATCTAGTTATCTTCTAGGGTATTTTGATGGACAAGATTAACATCTATGAAAGTAGAAAAAGAGAAGTTATTAGTGGGAGACTGAGCTGTTAAAGAGAAAAGGGAACAAGGAAGTTGATTTGGGAAGGTGCAAAAGGAGTTTTTCCCCCATGAATCAAAAGGAAGTGTTGGGAAGCAACTCTTCCATGGTAGCTTCTGAAAATTAGCACTATAATTGAACTGAATGTTTCAGTTCTCTGTGAATATATTGAGACCATGAATGCTTAGGCAAATTCATCTTTTTCCTTGTTTGTTGAAACCCAATGAAAAAAAAATTATATCTTTTGTTGTTTTGATAATGTTTTAAAGTGAGCAAAGAAGAAAGCAAAAAAAAAAAAACAAAAACAAAAACACCAAACCTAACAAAGAAAAAGTCCTCCAAATATATTGGATTGGCTAAAAAGTTCCTTCAGTTTCAAAGTATAAAGAAAAGATACATTTTTCATTTTCACCAAGAACTTTATTGAACCACCTATTCACCATTTCATTCCACTACGTTTCTCAGGCAACTTCATAATTCCATCTTCCCAAAACTTTTTATCTTTTTGATCAAACAGCTGTCCCAGGTACCTTTTACAGTCTTTCAGGGAATTGAAGTTTTTTCCATTAAGATAACTTTTTAAAGACCAAAATAAATGGAAATCTGAAGGTGCAACAGCTGGTGAATATGGTGGATGAATCTGAACTTCCTAGCCAAGTTGTAACAGTTTTTGCCTGGTCATCAAAAAAACATGCAGTCTTGTGTTATCTTGATGGAAGATTATGCATTTTCTGTTGATTAATTCCAGATGGTTTTCATGGAGTGATACTTTCAGCTGGTTTAATTGTGAACAGTACTTGTTGGAATTGTTTGGTTTTCCAGAAGGAGCTCATGATAGAGGACACTCTTCCAGTCCCACAATATATATAACATCACCTTTGGAAGGAAGACTGGCCTTTGGTGTGGTTGGTGGTGGTTCATTTTGCTTGCCCCATGATCTCTTCCATTCCACATTATTGTACAGTATCCATTTTTCATTGCTTGTCAAAATCTGTTTTTTAAATGGAACATTTTCATTATCTTTAAGTAGAGAATCACATTTGGAAACATAGTCAAAAGGATTTTGTTGTTGTTGTTGTTTATGTGGAACCCAAACATCAAAGCAATTAACATAACCAAGCTGGTATAAATGATTTTCAGTGCTCGATTTGGATATTTTGAATATGTCAAATATCTCACTCGTGGTATAACACTGATTGTTCTCAGTTAATGTCTTGATTTGATCACTATCAACTTTAACTGGTCTACCCAACCATGGAGTATCATCCAGCAAGAAATCTCCAGCACAAAACTTCAAAACCCACTTTTGACACGTTCCATCAGTCAGCACCTTCTCCATGCACTGCAAGTCTTTTGTGCATTTCAGTTGTGTTTTTACCTTTCTCGAGATAATAAAGCATTTTTATTCCACCTTCAATATTAAAATCGCTGCACGAAGTTCACCAATTTTTTAAGATTTTTTAAATGCACCCAGATATGACAACTGTCACAATACAATCTAACAAAATTGTTTCAAATGAAGTTAAAGGCAACTAAATGCTACTAGAGCCAGCTTACAGAAAAACCCAAATGAATTTTTTGACCAACACAATAGTTTATTATCTACTGCAAGGTAATAAAAATCTGAAAAGGTGGTAGAACCAAGAAAAAGAAATCTGGGGTTAAAAAATTTAGAATTTTTTCCCCTATGCTCTCAATTTCTCACTTCTCACCATACCTCCTAGAACTTTTTATTGAGATTAACACAAATCGTGGGGTAATTATTATCACTCTTTTGAAGGGAAATAATTTTATAATTATTTTATTATAGGTCTACTAGAATTTTTCATAGTATCATTTATCATTCAATAAAAGTTTCATCATTTACACAGCAAATCAGTATAATAGATAATTCCATAAGAAAGCAAATTATTCTGAACAAAACTATTTAAAATAAATTATTAAAATACACAATAGATTTATTTTTAAAATAAAATGTGTTCAGAATAATTTTTTTTCAAGAAATTTGATATCTTAGTAAAATGCATAATTTCTCCCTTGATGGAGACTGTAGAAAAGAGGGATGATGAGAGAATAGGGATTAAACCAGCCCAGTACCTAGCTAGTATGAGCAATGTACAGCCGAATTCCCTTAGCCTGAGTGAGGAACAGACTACTTCCAGATTCTTTCACTGGTGTTAGAAATCAAATTAAAACAATAAACAATTTGAATTTTTACTTTCTAACTTTTTCATTTTCCCATTGTTTATGTTTCTTTTTCCTGAGACTTCAAACATTGTGCTATTTAAGTCATCTTTCTGTCATTTCTCACTCTGTCATGTACATTAGCTTGCTAACCACACTGGCCAAATGGAGCTCCCTCCTTTTGAATGAGGGCCTTTCCTATATAGCTCTGGTCAAAATATACAATAAACAATTATGATTGTTTTTCCTTCTAAACTAGACATGTGAAAGCTTATACCTTTCACTGAACTTCATTATTGTGTCAGTTATATTTTGGCCATATTGTAAAATATAGTCATGATGATTATTTGGTTGCTAATGATAGGTTTTCCTTTCATTGTGGCAGAGAATGGAGAAATGTTTCTGTATCTCAGTTTAAATTGCTTGTTTATTTAATAACTGTTGGTTGTAAGCTCACAGCCATGTTGTAAGAGCTTGGTCCGTTATTCAAATTCCAGAATTACAAAGGTAGGCTTTATTTTAATTTTTTCTTAATATAATGTTCCCAAGATATTAATATCAAAATGCAAAAACTAGTAGAAGGTTTAATCTCTATTGAAAAGGACATAATTGGCTAATTTGGAGCAACATAAAAATACTTCCAAAATTCTAAATTTTGAAAATTTACCATAAATCACAACTAAATTACTTTTCAGTTATATGTTTAAAGCAAAACGCAGAAATCTGATGTAATGTAATGATATGAAATTCTTATTCAATAGATTGAGGACATAAACAATACGGAAACTGAATCAGCACCAGAGGTAAATGGACATTTCCTTTGATGAAACATTCACCTAAAATTATCTGGTTCACAAATAATCTTTCAATTAAAAAAATTAAAAGTTTTATTATGAATGTAGCAACAAGAAAAAGGACAAAAATATTTTGCAAAGCAAGGTCATACTTTTGCACTTTCAAACACTATAGCTTAGTGTTTTTGGAGAAAAGTATGTTTTTGCTCTCATGATTCAAGTAGAGGCACAAATCTGAGTTTGAAATATTCTGCCAAGACTGTATATTTCTTGAACTGTTACTAATAGTTGAGACTGTTGAAAGCTAATGTTGAAAAATGCAGTTTTCTTTTCATCGTTTGTCTTCTTTCCTCAGAGTTCCTGATAGTTTGTTTTGGTTATTACATACTAGCAGAGAGTACAGTATCTATTGCCATGAAGGAATGTTCAACAACCACAGCAGTTTTAGATCTCTTCTAATCTAACATACAAAGTTAAAGATCAATCAATTTGACGGTGTGCCTAGAAGTACAGACAAGTAAATTGGAAGCAGTTTTACTTCAGGGGCATGTGTTACAAATTATAATTCTTCACTTTGTTTTTGAAAAAAGTTCAGAGGCAATAATAGATGATGTAAAAGAACTAATTAAAATGAATTTCAAAAACAAGTTTAAGAATATGTGAATAGGACCAAATGCCAAAGAGTTTTGTCTATAATATAAATGTTTTCTAGATCACTTGGAAATACTGTTTTTTTTTCTCGCCAAATGTTGGTTTTATTAAGTATTTAAAAACTTACATGGAGAGAAAAGCCAGATGCAGAAAGCTTTCTTGTGTGTTTAAACTGAATCTGTCCACCATCAAATTGATTGAGAGTATGCTCACATGCACATTACCTTTTGTGGGATGAGTGCATGATAGCGAAATTCAGATAATGTCACATGGTTTTATCTGAACACTGTATTAACACCATCTTCTAGGAAAAAGGATGCTTCTTGAACCTTGTCAGCAATGGATTTCAGTAAGATTAATTCATAATGTACAATGAATTCAGAGAAAGAGCTATTTAATAGTAATCCATAAAAACTATATTTTTGTTCTTCATAGCATTGATAGCAATGTAATGAAATCCACCAATGATGGAAGTAATGTCCCGTGGAATCTAAATTTTGATATGGAAGAAATATGCTAATCACCTATTTTATAAATTAGGAAGGAGATGAGTCACTGCTTGTAACAGTGGTACCTGTCAAATCACACAAAACACCTGGAAAAATAAAAAAGAATTTTGAAGATCTAGAAACAGAACGAGAAGAGAAGGAAAGGGTCAAGTATGAAGAAGATAAAAGAATAAAATACGAAGAACAACGCCGACCTCTCAAGGAAGCAAAGTGTCTTTCATTGGTCATGGTAATTTTTTTTTAAGAACAAATAAAAAGTTAAGTTGATTCAAATCATATACTTTTATGATTAACGGGTAGGTTTTCATTATGTTTTCTTAGGATGATGAACTAGAAAGTGAGGCAAAAATAGAATCACTTTCTTCTGGAAAATTGAAACTGACTTTTGAAGAATTGGAAAGACAAAGACAAGAAAACCGAAGGAAGCAAGCTGAGGAGGAAGCAAGAAAACGTTTAGAAGAAGAGAGGCGTGCTTTTGAAGAAGCAAGGCGGCAAATGGTAAAACAGACTGATGTATACGTAACATTTATATATGTGGATTATAATACATAATGATAGCACATAATTATATTATATATAATATTCATATATTACAATATTATATAAATTATATGTATAATATTATATAAATGTTATCTATAAAGCATTCAATATTAAGGGAGGTAGCTGGATTTGGAAAGGTTCATTGCTATAAATTTAAGGAGATTTTCTATGTAGAACGGTCTGATTTTGAAATTGTATACATAGTCCATATATAATATGCATCCATATTATGTTCTAGTTTTCATTTTTGGATATTTTATCTAATATTCTCCAAATTTTTATTTATATAATTGTTATAAATATACAAAATATTTATTCAACAGAATAATTATTCAACAGAATAATTATTCAACTCTTTATCTGTTAGTTCAGTCTGCAGTGTGTTTAGCAGCATGGTGCAGCACACTTTCAAGTCTAATCATAAGTATACACTTAGTGTCAATGTGTGTATATACACACACACACATATATATATTGAACATACATGTGTGTGTAAATGTATACAATCTAAGTGGTTAAGAACATGGACTTTGGAGCCAGACTGCCTGGATTCATATATCTAACATTTATTAAATGTGTATCCATAGACAAGTTATTTAATTAACCTCTCTGTATCTTTCCTCATTTGTAAAATGGTGAAAATAATTGGGCCTACTTCTTAAATCATTAAATGAGTTAACACAGAAAGCAATTAGCGTCTAGCATATAAGAAGTGCCTTATTTTTTATTCATTTTTATTTTGTAATTTTTATTTTTTTGACCATGCAGTGGAGCTTGCAGGATCTTAGTTCCTTCACCAGGGATTGAACCTGTGCACCCTGCAATGGAAGTGCAGAATCCTAACCACTGGACCACCAGGGAACTCCCAATAAGTGCTTTAAAATCATTAACTGCTATCACTGTTAACAGATTTACCAACAAAAAATAAAACTGAAATAAGAAAACACTGATTCCAAATCCATTGCAAGAACCGAAGAATGGAACATATATAATTTTTTAAGCTTTCAGACTTCCTTGATCAACTTTAAATAATGATATTCTAAGGATTGTACTTCCAAAATTAAAATTTTCTAGATATTTTGTTTGAAAATGTTGTTACTTTTGGGCAGTTATAGTTGGATATCTACACATTTTAGATATCACTGGTGGTCAATTTAGTGAAAAGACATAGTAATATCATTAACTAATTAAATCATAAATTTCAATGAGTAATTAAATTCATATTATATTAATTATAAAATCATTAAATTTTAATTGTATATAAAATAGCTCCAGATATTTTACCCATTTAATTACCATAGTTCATAGTAAAAAAAAAAAATCCATGACAATTACAGAATGACCTTATTTTATTATCAAAGAGACTGTGTGTGTAAACTTGAACCTCAATTAAAGTACATACACACACTTTTAAATAACGCGTAATTTTTCCAGCTTTGATTTTTTTGAAATCATATTAGATTCATATTTTTTGAATATTAGATTCTAGAATTAGAATATTAATCTAATATTAATTAGAATATTAGATTCATACTTTTTGAATCATATAAAGGAAGGAGATTCTGGTCCCCTATGTGAGGTGACTGAGTCTGTGCTTTTTGATTGATAATTCGTTCCTGTCTTTGATGAATCTCATTTCTTAATAATGAGTTGTTTGTTGGTTAGGTAAATGAAGAGGAGGAAAACCAAGACACAGAAAACATTTTTAAAGGGTACCGCCCTGGTAAACTCAAGCTCAGTTTTGAAGAAATAGAAAGACAAAGGAGAGAAGATGAAAAAAGGAAAGCAGAAGAAGATGCCAGAAGAAGAATAGAGGAAGAAAAGAAGGCGTTTGCCGAAGCAAGGAGAAGCATGGTAAGACAGCATGTGACTGCAGGCGGCCACTGGGATTCAGCTTTTAGAGTATGTTAGGAGAAAGCATTCAACTGAGGGGAATACCCTATTATTTCTGGAAGTTGTGCCAAAAGTAGGGATGGCATATATGTTTTTAAAAGTCTCCTTTGGCATAATACCATCAGTTAAAGATGTTTGCTTCAGTACCATGTTGAAAAGGTTCTGATTAAATTGCTCTGCCTAGCATATATTATCTTCCTTCTCTGAGAAGGTGTGTTTTCCAGAACTAAGTATCTAAGCTAGGAGGGAGGGGGCTTCCTACCCCCACCTTCCCTTCCATTCTCTCCATTCTTTTCTCGAACCTAGCCGCATTTCCTCCTTCCCTTCCTTACTCCTTCTTTCCTTCCCTCCTTTCTTTCCAAGTTCCATCCCATCAGGGTACATTAAATGACCAAAGCCATTTAATCACAATTATTTAACTCTCCAAAATGCTTATCACCACTCTGGATATTGCTATCCAACTTAACTCTGCTACAAACTTATACTTCTTATACCATTTTAATATTTTAAATATATAATTATTTGACAAACTCTATTTTTAAGTATGTTGACATGTGAATGCTGCACAATCTTCTTGAAACCTTTTCATTTGCTTCAGTCATATAATGACCTGGTTTTTTTCCTATGTCTGGGTGAGCTTCAGACACATATTCCAAGTGTTTTTTGGCCTCATTATCCACACAGATGCTTAAATCAAACCTGAGAACCTTAAGCACTTTCACTGCTCATTTGTGCCTCATATCCAATCACTCACTAAGTCTCATTTCCTATGTATCACTCTGAAAATTCCCCCATTTCCCACTGTTGTTCAGTTGCTAAGTTATGTCTGACTCTTTGTGACTCTATGGACTGTAGCACACCAGCCTTCCCTTTCTTCCCCATATCCCGGAGTTTGCTCAGGTTCATGTCCATTGAGTCAGTGATGCTATCTAACCATCTCATCCTCTGCCGCCCTCTTCTCCTCCTTTTGCCTTCAATCTTTCCCAGCACTTCCTACTGCTACTACTATAATGCAGGTCACTGTTACCCCTTGCCTTAGGCCACCTCCTAATTAATTTGCTTTCTTGCCTATAATCTATTCTTTCCTATAAAGACAGGAAAGAAAGAAAGAAAGAAAGAAAGAAAGTGAAGTCGCTCAGTTGTGTCTGACTCATTGCAACCCCTGGATTGTAGCCTGCCAGGATCCTCCGTCCATGGGATTTTCCAGGCAAGAATACTGGAGTGGGTTGCCGTTTCCTTCTCCAAGAGATCTTCCTGACCCAGGGATTGAACCCAGGTCTCCCCCACTGCAGGCAGACTCTTTACCTGAGCCACCAGGGAAGCCCATAAAGCCAGGAGAGTTGTCCTGATGAAACTATGGACGGAAGTTCATGACATTGTACAGGAGACAGGGATCAAGACCATCCACAAGAAAAAGAAATGCAAAAAAGCAAAATGGCTGTCTGAAGAGGCCTTACAAATAGCTGTGAAAAGAAGAGAAGTGAAAAGCAAAGGAGAAAAGGAAAGATTTACTCATTTGAATGCAGAGTTCCAAAGAATAGCGAGGAGCGATAAGAAAGCCTTCCTCAGTGATCAGTGCAAAGAAGTAGAGGAAAACAATAGAATGGGAAAGACTAGAGATCTCTTCAAGAAAATTAGAGATAGCAAGGGAACATTTCATGCAAAGATGGGCTCAATAAAGGACAGAAATGGTATGGACCTAACAGAAGCAGAAGATATTAAGAAGTGGTGGCAAGAATACACAGAGGAACTGTACAAAAAAGATCTTCATGACCCAGATAATCACGATGGGGTGATGGCTCACCTAGAGCCAGACATCCTGGAATGTGAAGTAAAGTGGGCCTTAGGAAGCATCACTATGAACAAAGCTAGTGGAGGTGATGGAATTCCAGTTGAGCTGGAATTTAGGCTGAGTTTAGGCTTTGGAATTCCAAAGCCTAAAAGATGATGCTGCATAAGTGCTGCACTCAATATGCCAGCAAATTTCTAAAATTCAGCAGTAGCCACAAGACTGGAAAAGGTCAGTTTTCATTCCAATCCAAAAGAAAGGCAATGCCAAAGAATGCTCAAACTACTGCACAATTACACTCATCTTACACGCTAGCAGAGTAATGCTCAAAATTCTCCAAGCCAGGCTTCAACAGTATGTGAACCGTGAACTTCTAGATGTTCAAGCTGGATTTAGAAAAGGCAGAGGAACAAGAGATTAAATTGCCAACATCTGTTGGATCATTGAAAAAGCAAGAGAGTTCCACAAAAACATCTATTTCTGCCTTATTGATTATGTCAAAGCCTTTGACTGTGTGGATCACAATAAACTGGAAAATTCTGAAAGAGATGAGAATACCAGACCACCTGATCTGCCTCTTGAGAAATCTATATGCAGGTCAGGAAGCAACAGTTAGAACTGGACATGGAACAACAGACTGGTTCCAAATAGGAAAAGGAATACGTCAAAGCTGTATATTGTCACCCTGCTTATTTAACTTATATGCAGAGTACATCATGTGAAAAGCTGGGTTGGAGGAAGCACAAGCTGGAATCAAGTTTGCCGGGAGAAATATCACTAACCTCAGATATGCAGATGACACCACCCTTATGGCAGGAAGTGAAGAAGAACTGAAGAGCCTCTTGATGAAAGTGAAAGAGGAGAGTGAAAAAGTTGGCTTAAAGCTCAACATTCAGAAAACTAAGATCATGGTTCTGGTCCCATCACTTTATGGTAGATAGATGGGGACACAGTGGCAGACTTTATTTCTTTGGGCTCCAAAATCACTGCAGATGGTGACTGCAGCCACGAAATTAAGATGCTTACTCCTTGGAAGGAAAGTTATGACCAATCTACACAGCATATTAAAAAGAAGAGATGTTACTTTGTCAGCTATGGTTTTTCCATTAGTCATGTATGGATGCAAGAGTTGGACTGTAAAGAAAGTTGAGCACCAAAGAATTGATGCTTTTGAACTGTGGTGTTGGAGAAGACTCTTGAGAGTCCTTTGGACTATGAGGAGATCCAACCAGTCCATCCTAAAGGAGATCAGTCCTGGGTGTTCATTGGAAGGACTGATGTTGAAGCTGAAACTCCAATACTCTGGCCACCTGATGCAAAAGCTGACTCATTTGAAAAGACCCTGATGCTGTGAAAGATTGAAGGCAGGAGAAGAAGGGGACGACAGAGGATGAGATGGTTGGATGGCATCACCAACATGATGGATATGAATTTGTGTAAACTCTGGGAGTTAGTGATGGAAAGGAGGCTTGGCATGCTGTAGTCTATGGGGTCGAAAAGAGTCGGACATGACTGAGCAACTGAACTGAACTGTTCTTTAAAAAAAGAAGTTAATTTGATTTTGTTACTACTTTGCTTAAAAATTTCATATTTCCATTAAAGCAAAAATCTAAACACTATAATTTTAAAACAAATTTCTTTACAATCTTGCCCCAGTATTTTCTCGTTTCATTTTTTGATTCTTTGTTAAATCTGCCGTGTTGGTTCCAGACATACTAAATTTCTTTCCATTTCTTCAAAATGCTATGCTCTGATCTCTGGAACTTCAAAATACTGTATGAAACACATTACCCCTCTCCTTTCCTTTCTCTGCTTTCTCCTATTAATATATTCCATTTCCTCTGGAAGCCTTCCCTGATAGTACAACTCCCAGAAAGCGTTCCTTTCATGTACTCTTAAAGCATTTTGTGTTCCCCCAGCATGGCAGTAGTGCTGTATTCTTGTTGCTTATGACTGTCTTCCTCCCTCAGTGAGGCTGAGACCACATTGAGCACATGGCACAATGCATTCAGGTGTAACAAACTTCCTAAAATGCTTGTGGAATAAGTGATATTAAAACTGTCTTATGTCTATTTTTAGGTAATCCTTGATTCACAAATGGTTTCTACACAGAAACCCTACAAACATTGTGAAAGCACCCCTACAAAATTGTGAAAGCACTTAATTTTTAGAGAACAAGCTGGTTCAGAAGCACTAAATGAGAAGTAGCTGCGAAGATTAAGAAATCTAGTCCTGGGGCAGATTTTTAGGCCGAATCTGTCTTTTATCATGATGTACTAGTGAGAAAAGTGCAGGGAAGGGAAATGTCATTACACCAAAACTCTAGTTTCCTAGAGACATTTCTATATTAGGAATGAGAAACTTTTTCCTTCGTTTATGTGGTTTTCTTATCTAGGACCAAGTATTGTCATTTCATTGTTGCTCAGTTGCCCAAGTCGTGTCCGACTCTGTGACCCCATGGACTGCAGCACGCCATGTCTCCCTGTCCCTCACCATCTACAGGAGTTTGCCCAAGTTCATGTTCATTGCATCAGTGATGCCATCCAGCCATCTCATCTTCTGATGCCCTCTTCTCCTTCTACCCTCAATCTTTTCCAGCATCAGGGACTTTTCCAATGAGTCATCTGTTCGGATCAGATGACAAAAATACTGGAGTTTCAGCTTCAGCATCAGTCCATATTATAGCTCAAGTAGCTCATATATTATTAAAAAATTTGGGGGGTAATATGTGGATTGTAAAACTATATAAACATTGTTTCTGAGTTGAACTGCTTTTGTGGTAAACCCTGTCTTTTATAAAACTTGGAACAAATAAATAATTACCATTTGTTTTTTCTTATTCAAGTGTGTATTTCAACCACAGGGACATAATTTATTTATTTATTTATTTATTTGATTTTAAAAGGCTTACTTTTATTTATTTTTTTCCATTTATTTTTACTAATGAAAATTAAAAAAATAAAGGGACATGATTTAAATGAAAGGTTTATGTATGTACTTTCAGGGAATAGAATTAGGTAATTGCTTGTCATGAAAAATGTATTGCAAGTCAATGACTTAAAAGTAGAGTTTTTGCAGTTTAGAGACTGCCTGTATACAATGATATTGTAATAATAAAACTGCTCTTTGGGAGCTTACCTTGGTGTCAGGCACACTGCAGAGTGTTTCCAAACTTTATGTGATTCATGACAATTCAATGAAAGTTGTCGCAGATAAGGAAATTCAGATCTAAAGAGGCTATGTAATTTGTCTATGGTTGCAACTAAATCGCAACTAAATGGCAGTTAGACATGTAATTTATAAAATTACGAAAAGGTAGTGTAAATAGTTATTTATAATTTTATTAGACTTCTCAAGTTTTGAATCTCACCTTTCCCATATAGTATTTGTATCAACTTTGGACAAGTTGCTTTTTATTGCCTTAGTTTCCTCATCTATTAAATGGGGATATTAATAACACCTACTTCATATGGTTATAGAAAAATAAGTCAATACATGTAAAGTGCTTAGAATTATACCTGGCAGTTGTAAGTATTAACTACTATTTATTTTTAATTAGCCTGACAGAAAAAAATCAGTATAATAAAATCACAGCATTAGTGATTATTGCCTGATTATGAAGGGATCATAATGATAACTCATTCAGTTAAAACCATGATTTAACTGAAACGCTCTATTTTTAATTACCAGAATTGAGGTTCATTTTACTTTTTAAAAATTTTATTTATTCGACTGTGCCAAGAGCTAGTTAGGGCACGTAAGATCTTTGATCTTTGTTGTAGCGTGTGTGATTTTAGTTATGGCATGTGGGATCTAGTGCCCTGACCACAAATCAAACCTAGGTAGGCCCCTCACATTGGGAGCATGGAGTCCCAACCACTGGACCACCAGGGAAGTCCAGAGTTTCATTTTAATTCAATTAAAAAGTTTTCCCAATATTAGAACATCTTTTTAATTTTTTTAATGAAAATTTTTGTTGTTGCTAGAGCTTCTTAATGTCTAATTCAAATTGTGTGCTCCATCTCTCAGTTGTGTCCGACTCTTTGTGATGCTGTGGACTGTAGCCGGCCAGGCTCCTCTGTCCATGGGAGTCTCCAGACAAGAATACTGGAGCGAGTCGCCATTTCCTCCTCCAGGGGTCTTCCCCACCCAGGGGATTGAACCCTCATCTCTTGCATCTCCTCCATTGGCAGGTGGATTCTTTTACCACTGTGTCACTGGGAAGCCCCTAATTCAAATTACTCATAGTAAAAGTCAAAGTATTTATTTGTGTTCATTGGAATGGAGACTAGATGGTCACCATTTTCTGTGTTACTACAAAATACTTTAGTCTTATGTTTTCTAATAATTATTACTTGTTTGTTTTATATTTTTAAAGAGAATTTTTGTTTTTTAGTTCAATGTGAAATCTTTCTATTCAAGAGATATTCCCTTTTTAGTATGTATAATTCTGGCAAGAGTGATAAAATAATTATTTTAAATAGGTAGTAGATGATGACACCCCAGAGATGTATAAAACAATCTCTCAAGAATCTCTTATACCGGGAAAACTGGAAATTAATTTTGAAGAATTATTAAAACAAAAAATGGAAGAAGAAAGACGACGAACAGAGGAGGAGCGGAAACATAAACTAGAGATGGAAAAACAGGAATTTGAACAACTGAGACAAGAAATGGGAGAGGTAAGATTTTAAGAAGTATCCATTTATATCCCACAAATATCTATTAATCTAAGTATTTCCCATACATTACCTTACAGTAATTTTCTAAGTATTATTATTCACATAAAGGACATTCCTATGAGGCACTTGGTACAAGTTTTAGCATAGTTGAGTTGAGTGTACCTTTCCAGCCTGCTATAACTCTACTCCTCCTTGCTAGTTTGAAAAATATACAATTCCAAGAGACTGAGATATTACATTAGTACTTAAGTAAATATTTCTTCCTATATACTCACAGTTGTGTGTGATTACACCATGATTGAGAACTGTTGTTCTAGAGTGCTTAATATACTCATTTATACTTATTTTCCTTGAAACAGAATTAAACTGATCATCAAAATAAAAACATACAAGAGTACCATGGATGCTAATAGGAACATCAGTTTGGCAAGTCTTTGAATCATTTTACAGGCATACTGCATTTCATTGTGCTTCACTTGATTGCACTTTACAGATACTGCATTTTTTAACAAATTAAGTCTGTGGCAACTCTGCATGGAGCAAGTCAGTGGACCCATTTTTCCAACATTTGCTCACTTTGTGTCTCTGTAAAACATTTTGATACTTCTTGGAATATTTCAGACTTTTTCATTATTATATATGTTATAGTGGTGTGTGATCAGTGACCTTTGTTGTTACTATTGTAATTGTTTTGGGCCACCACAAACTGCACCCATAGCAGATGATGAACTTAATCTATATATGTATTCTGTTCTGACTGTGTCACTTACTGGCTTCCCCTCTCCTTGGGCCTATTTCATTACACAAAATTACTGAAATTTGGCCAATTAATGGCCTCTAAGTGTTCAAGTGAGAGTCTCATGACTTTCACTTTATGCTTGGTTGAGAAGCAATTTGTCTCACTTTAAAAGCTAGAAATGATTAAGCTTAGTGAGGAATGCATGTTGAAAGCTGAGATACGCTGAAATCTAGACCTCTTGTGCCAAATGGTTAACCAAGATATGAATGCAAAGGAAAAATTCTTACAGGAAATTAAAAGTGCTACTCCACTGAACACATGAATTATAGCAAAGTAGAACAGCCTTACTGTCATGGAGAAAGTTTTAGTGGTCTGGATAGAAGGCCAATGAACCACAACATTCCCTTAAGCCAAAACCTAATCCAGGGCAAAGCCCTAACTCTCTTCAATTCTATGAAGAGTGACAGATGAAGAAACTGCAGAAGAAAAGTCTGAAGCTTGTAGAGGTTGGTTCTTGAAGTTTAAGGAAAGAAACCATCTCCATAACATAACAAGTGCAAGGTGAATCAGCAAGTGCTATTGTAGACGCTGCAGCAAGTTATCCAGAAGATCAAAGATAATTAATGAAGGTGGCTACACTAAAAAATAAATTTTCAATATAGGCAAACAGTCTTACATTGGAAGAAGATGCCACCTAGGACTTCCTTAGCTAAAGAGGAGAAGTCTCTGAAGCGTCAAAGGACAGGCTGACTCTCTTTTAGGGGCTAAAATAGCTGGTGACTTTAAGTTGAAACCACTACTCATTTACCATTCTGAAAATCCTAGGACCCTTAAGAATTATGCTAAATCTACTCTTCCTATGCTCTATAAATGGAACAATGAAGCCTAGATGACAGCACACCTGTTGACAACACTGTTTACTGAATATTAAGCCCGTTAAGACCTACTGCTCAGAAAAAAAGATACCTTTCAAAATATATTGCTCACTGACAGTGCACCTGGTCACCCAAGAGCTCTGATGGAGATGTGTGACGATATTAATGTTGTTTTCATGCCTACTGGCACAGCATCCATTCTGCAGTCCATAGGTCAAGAAGGAATTTCTACTTTCAAGTCTTATTATTGAAGAAATAAATTTTGTATGGCTTTAGCTGCCATGAAGATCTTTTTTTTTTTTTTTTTTGTATAGTTCTTCTGTGTATTCTTGCCACCTCTTCTTATTATCTTCTGCTTCTGTGAGGTCAATACCATTTCTGTCCTTTATTGTGCTCATCTTTGTATGAAATGTTCCCTTGGTAGCTCTAATTTTGTTGAAGAGCTCTCCAGTCTTTCTCATTCTACTGTTTTCCTTTATTTCTTTGCATTGATCACTGAGGAAGGCTTTCTTACCTCTCCTTGCTATTCTTTGGAACTCTGCATTCAGATGGGTATATCTTTCCTTTTCTCCTTTGCCTTCTGCTTCTCTTCTTTTCTCAGCTTTTCTTTTCTCAGTAAGGCCTTGTCAGACAACCAATTTGGGCTTTCTGCCTTTCTCTTTCTTGGGAATGGTCTTGATCCCTGCCTCCTTTACAGTGTCATGAACCTCCATCCATAGTTCTTCAGGCACCCTATCAGATCTAATCCCTTGACTCTATTTGTTACTTCCACTGTATAATCGTAAGGGATTTGATTTAGGTCATACCTGAATGGTCTAGTGGTTTTCCTTACTTTCTTCAGTTTAAGTCTGAATTTGGCAATAAGGAGTTCATGATCTGAGCCACAGTCAGATCCCAGTCTTGTTTTTGCTGACTGTACAGAGCTTCTCCATCTTTGGCTGCAAAGAACATGATCGATCTGATTTCAGTATTGACCATCTGGTGATGTCCATGTATAGAGTCTTCTCTAGACATCCTGGAATGTGAAATCAAGTAGGCCTTAGGAAGCATCACTACGAACAAAGCTAGTGGAGGTGATGGAATTCCCATTGAGCTATTTCAAATCCTGAAAGATGATGCTGTGAAAGTGCTACACTCAATATGCCAGCAAATCTGGAAAACTCAGCAGTGGCCACAAAACTGGAAAAGGTCAGTTTTCATTCCAATCCCAAAGAATGTTCAAACTACCGCACAGTTGAACTCATCTCACATGCTAGCAAAATAATGCTCAAATTTCTCCAAGCCAGGCTTCAACAGTATGTGAACCATGAACTTCCAGGTGTTCAAGCTGGATTTAGAAAAGGCAGAGGAATCAGAGATCAAATTGCCAACGTTCGCTGGATCATCGAAAAAGCAAGATAGTTCCAGAAAAACATCTACTTCTACTTTATTGACTATGCCAAAGCCTTTGACTGTGTGGATCACAACAAACTGTGGAAAATTCTTTGAGAGATGGGAATACCAGACCATCTGACCTGTCTTCAGAGAAATCTGTATGCAGGTCAAGAAGAAACAGTTAGAACTGGACATGGAACAACAGACTGGTTCCAAATCAGGAAAGGAGTAAGTCAAGGCTGTATATTGTCACCCTGCTTATTTAACTTATATGCAGAGTACATCATATGAAATGCTGGGCTGGATGAAGCACAAGCTGGAATCAAGTTTGCTGGGAGAAATATCACTAACCTCAGATATGCAGATGACACCACCTTTATGGCAGGAAGTGAAGAAGAACTAAAGAGCCTCTTGATGAAAGTGAAAGAAGAGAGTGAAAAAGTTGGCTTAAAGCTCAACATTCAGTAAACAAAGATCATGGCATGCGGTCCCATCACTTCATGGCAAATAGATGGGGAAACAGTGGCAGACTTTATTTTTGGGGGCTCCAAAATCACTGCAGATGGTGACTGCAGCCATGAATTTAAAAGGCTCCTGCTCCTTGTAAGAAAAGCTATGACCAACCTAGACAGCATATTAAAAAGCAGAGACATTACTTTACCAACAAATGTCCATCTAGTCAAAGCTATAAAGAAAGCTGAGCACTTGAGAGTCCCTTGGACTGCAAGGAGATCCATCAAGTCAATCCTAAAGGAAATCAGCCCTGAATATTCATGGAAGGACTGATGCTGAAGCTCCAGTACTTTGGCCACCTGATGTGAAGAACTGACTCACTGGAAAAGACCCTGATGCTGGGAAAGACTGAAGGTGGGAGGAGAAGGGGACAACATAGGATGAGATGGTTGGATGGCATCACTGACGCGATGAACGAGTTTGAGTAGTTTCTGGGAGTTGGTGACGGACAGGGAAGCCTGGCTGTGCTGCAGTCCATGGGGTTGCAAAGAGTTGGATACGACTGAACTGAGCTGATGGTGATTTCTCCGATGAATATGGACAAAGCCAACTGAAAATCTTCTGAAAAGGATTCAACGTTCCAGGTGCCATTACAAATATTCATGATTCATGAAAAGAAAGAATCAAAATATCAAATTCAGAAGAGTTGATTTCAACTCTTTCAACTGAGGATTTCAACTGATTTGATTTCAACTGATTTCAACGTAGAAAATGTTGATTTCAACTCCATGGATGACTTTGAGGGGTTCAAGATCAGTGAAGGAAGTGACCGTAGATGTGAAACAGCAAGGGAATATGAATTAGAAGTGGTCTCTGAGGACAGGAATGAACTGCTGAAATCTCATGATAAAACGTTAATGAATGAAGAGTTGCTTCATATGGGTGAGCAAAGAAAGTGGTTTCTTGAGATGGAAGCTACTCCTGATGAAGGTGCTGTAAAAATTGTTAAAATGACAACAAAGTGTTTAGAATATTGAATAAACTTAGTTGATAAAAGTGCTAGCAGTTTTTAGATCGACTCCAATTTTGAAAAAAAAATCTACTGTGGGCAAAATGGTATCAAAGAGCATTGCAAGCTACAGAGACATGATTCACAAAAGAAACAGTCAATTGTTGCAGCACACTTCATTGTTGTCTCATTTTAAGAAATTGCCACAGCCACTGCAGCCTTCAGCAATTACCACTCTAATCAGTCAGCAGCCATCAACACTGAGGCAAGAATATCCAACAGCAAAAAGATTATGACACTGAAGGCTCAGATTAGCATTTTTAGCAATATTTTCAAGTTAAGGTATGTACTTTGTTTTTTTAGACATAATGCTATTGCACACTTAATAGACTATAGTATAGTGTATGCACTGGGAAACCAAAAAATTCATGTGACTCACTTTATTAAGATGTTTATTATGGTGGTCTAGAATTGAATTCACAATATTCTCAAGGTATGCCTGTACTATAGACTCTACAGGGCCAGCTTCATGAGCATGCACCTTGTGCCCACATAGGACCCAGACTCAGAAGGGTCACACTTAGGATTTAGTGCTCTGAGGTTGTCTTTGAAACTTTACATGTTTATCTTTGAATCTCTGTGTTACAAGTAAAGTAGCTGGACAGTGGAGCTTGCACTAGAGTCTGGGAGCCTTGCCTCAACCACTCCAGATGATCTCTGCTTGTATCCATGGTGGGCTCTTGACACCTCTTCTCCTACCTCCTGATGCTGCAAAACCCTGTTTAAGCTTCTTCCTACCTCTGGACACTTCTTTGCTCCATCTGGATGGCCAAGCAGTTAGAGGGGAGGGAAAGGGAGGAGGCCAGCATTCTACTGTCACCTTAGGCTTCTGGTTGGGCAACGGGCCACAGAAGTAACACAAGCAGCAGTCCAGGATGCATACACAACCCCATTGCTTGGGGTGAGGCGAGCACCCCAACTCAAGTAGGACTGGTAGTGTAATGGCATGTTTAACAACTGACTCTGGGGGGACTTCTTGCCAGCTCCTGATCTAGGAACTGAGTGGGTTCCTTCAAGGAGGTTGCAGCCTCTTAGAAGCTGACTCTGTCACGGGTTGGAGCAATGGACTTGTAGGGATATTTACTTCCTTGCCCAAATCGACCAAGAGACTACAAATGCTGTATATATAGTTAATAAGACAATATAATGAATATGCTACAGGAAAATACTGCAAGGTCTAGCCTTGGAATTTAAAAAAGAGTAATAGCATTTATCTTATAAAGGAAGCTGAAAATGAATTGTCTGTCTAGAAAAATGAAGTAAACTAGAATATATTTTAGTATACTATTGAGAAGTAATCTAATTAATACATGGCAAGTTAATTGTCAGACATTATGGTGCTACTCCGCTATGTCTGGGAGTTTTCAATCAAGTAGAAAGCCAATTTCAAGATTACTCAGATTGTAACTGATTAGCCAACCACTAATTTTGATCAGTGACCTGGGAACCACTGTGATATGATACAATGTCATAATTGCTAATTTCTGCTATTTTAGGAGTTGCTCATTTTCACCCAGATAGACCAAAATGTGGAGGTAGTATGAGAAATAAAACTTTTTTTCCTTTTGTTGAACCAAAAGATTAAGCCTCATGTCAAAATCATCCACAGTAACTCTCCCTGCATACCGTTTGCCCCTACCCAAACCCTGTCCCACCTTTTTACTTCTCTGCCTGGAACTCTAGGTCTTCCCTAGGAAAAGTGTACCAGGAATAACTGCAATATTCTACTACTCCATTAGGATTTAGTGTAAGAAGTATACAAATACTTTATATTTGTGAAATACACAATATTTTGTGAAAAGCAAAGGAAAAACTTGAATAAAAAGTATTCAAGATACAATGGTATAAAGAACTGGAGCCTGATTTTCACTGACTCCTTATCTTTCTTGGCAGAATATAGAGAATACAAGTGATATGTAGCAAAATGTAAGGATTTTATCACATTGTGTCTGTAGAAATGCTTAATTCAGAGTATTGAGTGATGTTTGACTATCATCAAATCAAAGGCAGGAGTAATTTTTAGAGATACTGTGGCTCTATATAGAGATGAAAAAATCATGTCCAGTGGGCTGAGAGACCAGGCAAAAGGCCACACAGTATCAGAGTCAGAATTAGAACTTCTCTCAGCCCAGTGTTTTTTAAAATTTTCTTTACCTTCCCCCTAAAAGATTCCTCTACAATTCCTCATAAAAGCTAGTCTTCACATGCATATTTCAGTTTTAGCAGATTATAATGGAATATTAATGAGCTTTTCAGCCATAGTCTCTAGTTAAGTAGTATTTTAAATGAAGTTAAGATGTTATCTGAAGTCTTACATTTGTAGCACTACATTTTTATTAGTTGGAGGCTAATTACTTTACAATATTGTAATGTTTTTTGCCATACATTGACATGAATCGGCCATGGATTTACATGTATTCCCCATCCTGATCCCCCCTCCCACATTCCTCCCCACCCCATCCCTCTGGGTCTTCCCAGTGCACCAGCTCCGAGCACTTGTCTCATGCATCCAACCTGGGCTGGTGATCTGTTTCACCCTTGATAATATACGTGTTTCGATGCTGTTCTCTCAAAACATCCCACCCTCGTCTTCTCCCACAGAGTCCAAAAGTCTGTTCTGTACATCTGTTTTGAATATAGGGTTATCGTTACCATCTTTTAAAATTCAATATATATGCATTAGTATACTGTATTGGTCTTTTATCTTTCTGGCTTACTTCACTCTGTATGATGGGCTCCAGTTTCATCCATGTCATTAGAACTGATTCAAATGAATTCTTTTTAATGGCTGAGTAATATTCCATGGTGTATTCGTACCACAGGTTCCTTATCCATTTGTATGCTGATGGACATTTAGGTTGCTTCCATGTCCTGGCTATTATAAAACAGCATAGCACTACTTTTAATTAGTAAATTTAGGCATAGTTTTTAGTGGAAAAGTTATAACATTTAGTTTTGATTTCAAATAATAGTGAACTTTCTGGATAACTTATGTACAAACTAATTTTATGGTATTTAATATGTAAAAATCTTAATTTTTTTGAAGGAAGAGGAAGAAAATGAAACCTTTGAACTGAGCAGGGAATATGAAGAATTAATCAAATTGAAAAGGAGTGGTTCTATTCAAGCTAAAAATTTAAAAAGCAAGTTTGAAAAAATTGGACAATTGTCTGAAAAAGAAATACAGAAAAAGATAGAAGAAGAACGAGCAAGAAGAAGAGCGATTGATCTTGAAATTAAAGAGAGAGAAGCAGAAAACTTTCATGAGGTATATATATATATATATATAGTTTTATATTTAAGTTATAATAATGATGAATTTAACAGAAGTAACAATGACTTTGAAATTAAGTGTTTGTACTTAAAATTAACTGTCAGAGGATATAATAATCTGGGAACTAATAAAGAGCAAAATCACATTAAGATCTTGAGACTTTGAAAGATTTCGCTATTCTAGTATTGTTCCAAAATTACTTTGGAACAGAGAGAATGAGAGCCTATGGTGAACATCAAATGTTTCACTCTAGCAAAAATAGCTCAAAAGTAAATATTTATTGGTACAAGTTTTTACTTTGAATCAGTAGGAACCAGTGTATATAACTCCAGGGATTATTCATACCTACTTTATTACTTAAAGATGAGGCCAACAAAGCCTATGTGATCTGCTCAAAGTCATGCTAAATCATTCAGGAACAGAGCCTAAATAAAAATTCAGGTGATGTGAATTTGAAGTACCTCCATATGTAAAATAAGGAGATGGAGATACTCACTAGATGACCATAATGTCCCTTCCAGTTTAAGGACTAGTTCCATGATATGAATATTGCTTTAAATAAGATCTGGAAAGCTTAATGTCAGAATTGCCATTTTTGTTGTATCTAACACATACTCTTCTAAAAACTCATTCTCACCAAATATTCAACTGTAATACAGTGTGAGAATTTGGGAGGGCATTCAGAGGAGATTGTTGAATAAAAACGATGAAACTATGGGCAAACTCCAGAACTATAAGCAATTCATTGAGACAGGGAGAATGTGAGCACAGCACAAGGTAATGCAGATACAAGCACAAGCAAGATGAACCATCTCTGATGTCGTGTTAAGCAACTTTATCGGGGTGCGCCGAAGGGACTTTTAAAACATGGAATATTATCACATAGGCATCTTCATTGCGTGATCATGTTGAAGCTAAAGATGGGTTTTGGATTCATGCATTAAAAAAATTATTTGAAACCCTAAGTTCCAGGGACTGTTCTGGACACCGGGGCTACATTGGCAAATAAACCTGCATGAGTCCTGGCTCATATGGTGTTTAGAATCATCTAACAGGTGTAGGGATGTAAAATAATGACTGGGAAGTAAAGTCACATGGTGAAGTGGAAAATAGTTTCAAACAATTATAGGTGATAGGATAAAAAGTTGTGAAACTAGGCGTTGTTAGCTGAAGGGCCTTTTTAACCTTGCAGGCACTATGATTTTGGAACAATGTTAGTAATCAAAGTTTTAGGACAGAGTATAAAAAGCTAGCTTTAAGAATCCTGGGGTCGTGGAGGATGAACTGGGACAAGGAAATGAAGTCGGGGGTCAAGGGAAAAAAACTGAGTTACAGGCAGGTGGTTGCTGAAAAGGCTAACATTTCTTCAAGACGAAACTATATGATGCTACAGAGAATTCAGGAAGTCTGGAGAGAGGTGGATGAACAAATTGTTTTGGACCTGTGAAGTTTGAGCTATATTTGGACAAGTAATGGCAGTCTGAAACATAGGCATTGAGCTCAGTTAAGAGGCAGGAGCTAGAGACTGTAACTTTTTTGGATACTATTTGAAAGTACAGATGTAGATAAAGCCATCTTGAAAGGGTTAATAGTTGTCAGATGAATAAAATCCTGGAAAACATGAACATTCAGTGGATGGATGGGCCACAAGATCAGTTGATTCCTTAGAGATAAATCACAGAAGGTAAAGAATTTAAATCAGGATGCACTTGCCCCACTTCCTTTTTTTCTGGTTAAAGGTAGTAAAATCTCAGAGCAGTCATACCTAACCCTATAAAATTTGTAGGTAAGAATACAAGAAATGACGCTGGTGGTTTCTTGTTTTAATGCTGTTACTGGCTCTTGTATAAAACAGGAGATTAGGACCTGGCTGACTCTCTAACCCGTGAGGATGTCCTGAGTTGAGTTTCCTGTGAGGAACCTGACATTCTTATCTCAGTAAACTAAGGGTCACTGAAATACTGTATTAGCATAGTTCTGGCAGAGTATAGTCAACTTCCAGGGTAGGACCTGTCCCTTCTGATCATTTCAGGTTTCCTTCTTTAGAAAATACCTTCTCTATATTCCAGACATCTTTCAAGGCCTAACTCATGTAAACTTACCTAATCTAAGAATTCCATCCCAGCTCCTGTAGCCCTTAACTGTACCAACATTTGGTACATAAATCACTTAACTGCCTAATAGTGTCTGATTTTCTAGTTTGATTCTCCAGAACCATTCTTTACATTCTTTTATCCCCAATTCACTGCTTAATTGTATTGCCTGTAATATCCACATGCTGGGAGTACCGATGCCCTACTAAGAATGCAATTAAAGAAGAAAGATCATTCCATTTATAACGTAATTCTCAGTAGATCCATTTCCTGTTAAAACTTTTTTTTCCATTTATTTTTATTAGTTGGAGGCTAATTACAGTATTGTAGTGGGTTTTGTCATACATTGACATGTATCATACATTCATGAATCCATGGACTGTTAAAACCTTCTAACCTGGCTTTACAGGTATTCAAGGAAAGGCAACTGTACTTAATAACTGTAAGACTATTCATAAACTTTCTCGCAGTTAACTTTTACTTAAATTTATTTTCTAAAGGCAGGTTTTATAACTACATAAGTAAAATTTATGAGTTTACACAAACTTTTATACAAAAATCTAGAAGGTGAGTTATTAAGTGGGAGGGATTTAGTCAGAACAGTAGTTGTTATACTTGCTGAAATATACTATCTTGAAGATTTGTTAAAGTAAAGAATAACATTAAATATTCAGTGTGAACAAAGAGGTCCATTTTTCTTTCCATAAGTCTCAGAAAAGTCTGTTGAGATAAAACTGCAGTTTACTAGTTTGCTTATTAAACAAGCAGACCATTGTTTAGCATGTATTTTTTACCCTATTTTTAAAAAAATATAACAAGAAACAATCATATCAATAAAATTCATTAGCAATAATGGTAGTCTGGTATGTTTATCAACTGAAGGCTAAATAATGGCATGAAAAATAGAATTTACCCATCAAGTCTCTAATTATGTCTGATATCCTAGCATTTTCCAGTATCAAATAAAAACTGGACTCAGGAGAACCAGGAAAACAATCCAACTTAAACTTCTATATTCATTGGAGCTGTGGTACACTTTAAACTATAAAACATTGGTGAACCAATATTTTTCTTATACAGGGAATTATTCTATAGCTTATTTGAAAATTTTGTTTGGTTGCATAGGGTATGTGGAAGTAGTTTCCTCATAGTACTTTGAAATACGAATGGTGAGATTTCTAGATAAACTCACAAGAGTCTAAGGAGTTTAGAGACCAAGAGTCATCTACAACCAAGGTATTTTTGAAACCATGGGTTAACTGTACTCACGAGACCCCATTCTACTAAAACTGCTCTCAAAGGCCAGTGAGTGACCTCATCACCAAATTGGTTTTACAGACGCACTACCTGACAGATCAAATTCTACCCTTACATTACCCCTTTATTTTCATGGCTCCCAACTCTTACCCCTAAATAAACTGACTCAGAACTGTACTCCCTCCGTTTCCCCAAGTTTCAGTCATTGCCTCTTTCAACAGTTGTCTTCCTATTTTATTCTACCTGTAAACGTTCTTCTTTGCCATTGCTTATCGATAAATTATTTACTGGATGGAATTCATCTGTTATTAGCAAAAAAGGGTGAGGAAGAAATCATGAAGTGGGAAATAACAAAATTGCATTTCTGTATTATGTAGTAGGTAAAGAGTTATGTGGAGACTCTTATGAAAGTTATTTTAATAATTGTTAATAGTATATGATTTCCTCATCCTTTTCTGTTACTCAGTACTATTAACAAGCACTGAGATTTGGTCTGGGCAAATAAAATACACTAGGACTCTGGAGACAATGTGTGATATTTACACTGGGAGAATAATTCCAACTGTTAAAAAGAGTATTTCACAAGTGAACTTTCATCTTTCCTAAACTGGGGGATAGTCTGCAGTGCAGGAAATAGCATAACCCGAACATGTTAATTATCTTGTGCCTAGGCATCTCCAAAACTATTAACATTTTAGTTCTTGCTGGTTTTTAGAAAGTAAACAATTCTTATTCTTGGCCCCTTTTTGTAAAGGAGGAAGATGTTGACATTAAGCCTGCAAAAAAAAGTGAGGCTCCATTTACTCATAAAGTGAATATGAAAGCTAGATTTGAACGTATGGCTAAAGCAAGAGAAGAAGAAGAACAAAGAAGAATTGAAGAGCAAAAGTTACTACGTATGCAGTTTGAACAAAAGGAAATTGATGCAGCACTACAAAAGGTACCAGGCTTTCATATCCTTTCTTTACCAAAGATTTCTGAAAAACAATGAAATTTAAGAGGCGGGATTAAAAATACATTTTAATAGCTTTCAAATCAGTGAAATGTTAATGTAAAACTCACTTTATAGTAAGCACACTTACATGTTCTTTACTTTGGGGGAAAATATACCTACCTCCAAATTCTATTACTAAATCACTGTCCTGAAAACATGACTACAGTATAAATGCCAATCTGAATGCACTTATTTTAACACAGAAAAGGGAAGAGGAGGAGGAAGAAGAGGGTAGCACCATGAATGGATCTACCATTGAAGATGAAGAGCAAACCAGATCAGGAGCTCCGTGGTTTAAGAAGCCTCTAAGAAACACATCGGTTGTAGACAGTGAGCCAGTCAGATTTACTGTTAAAGTAACAGGAGAACCCAAACCAGAAATTACATGGTGGTTTGAAGGAGAAATATTGCAGGATGGAGAAGACTATCAATATATTGAAAGAGGAGAAACTTATTGCCTTTATTTACCAGAAACTTTCCCAGAAGATGAAGGAGAGTATATGTGTAAAGCAGTGAACAGCAAAGGATCTGCAGCTAGTACCTGTATTCTTACCATTGAAAGTAAGAATTAATCACTCTTTGAATCTAGAACTTTCATTCTATTTAAATATTTTTTTCTGAGAAAAAAAAAATCATTTTTCTTCTTCTCTTTTTTAGCTGACGACTACTAGGTCCCCTTCCCTCTCCCTGGAACACACCCTCTCTCTCCGACTTTCTTACTACATCCATCTTTTCTGTGGCGGGGCCAAAAAAGGAAACTGAAGTACCACTGTGTTGACTTCTTATTCCTTTCCCTAACAGTCTTCAAAAAACAAGCTCATCTAAAAAATACCTTTTTCCTTTCCAAAAGAGCACCAGATTCATCACCCCATTATGCAGTGTAAGTTAATGTGTAATTTAATGGGGCAAAGGGGGGGAATTTACTCAATTATTCTATCAGAACCTATTACAAATGCTGTGTATGTTTCATGTTTACAGCAATTAAGTTTTAAAGAAATTATAAACAGGACACATTTTGCATGAATAGACTATCATTTACGAACTAGTCACACCTAAAATTAGTCTGAAATAGATGAGTAGTGAATTTGGAACCTATCAATTTAAGTGGGCTTTCCCCTCAGTAGTGCATCATCTTGGCTGTTGTAGTTTCAAAGTCTTTCTGGAGCAGAGATGAGGGGATAGGGTTGTCATTTCTCCCTCTATGCAGAGAGAACACAAAACAAAACAAAAATTAAAAGACTTTTAAGAAACAACTGCCAGAGCAAATCTGATGGATACCACTGCCTAATACGGAATGTTGGGAATATAAAACATGTATTTTTCAAATCTGTGTAATATATATTCAAGCTTACAAAAAGTAAATTTATGTTGTGACTTTCCTCAGCAAATTATATTTTAATGAGAAAACTTTGTATTAATAGTTCATGCAGGAGAAAACATAATCAAAGATTTTCGTATTTAAGAGAATTAATTAGATGTAGGGGAAAATGGCACAATCATCAATTTTTAGTTTTTAAAGTGAGTTTGTAAATAATTAGCTATCATGTTCTATTATCAAGTTGTTTTATATTTTAGTTTTCTGGAAAACAATTTTATTTTACAATGTAAACCCATAATAAAGTCACTTCTGTATTTAAGAAAAGAGACAAACACTCCTTTATAATGTTCACCAATGTACATTTATTTTTTTTATTGAGGAAACCATAATCAATACAAAATTACAGCAATCATATACCCCTTTACATACAATGGTATTAAAACAAACTAAACCACAGTTTGTAAAGTATTCAATTTACCTCAAGTCCAAGCTGCATCTCCCTAAGACACTGATCCCATCACAGTAGCCATTTTAAGCCAATCTTCTTTTTACACGGGTAGTTTCTGTAGAGAACACTTTTCTCAGGACGAAAATGCATTGAGCATGCATAAGAAAAAATATATATATGTGCAAATACATTTATGAGTTCCTATAAGGGGTATCACCGAAGAAAATAAAATCCTGGGACTTATTTGCTTTCTTAAAAGCACCAATTTAAAAAAATCCCTCAGAAGTTTATACTGTGGCAAGAAAACTCACGTGACTAAACAAAAAATAAGGTTATTTTCAGAGTCAAAATTATCTTTAGGTATTGTTAAAATACATTTTAAAGTGAGGCAGAATTTTCAGAAAATAAAAAGACATCTTTATTAACTAGTAATTTCTACAACCTTATTCTAAAGAACATAACTTTGCAGGTAGAAGTGGTTCTCCTGGCAAAAGTATTCAAACAAACATTATCACTTCTGAATATATTCCTATCTTCCTCTTAAAGTATTGTTTACTCCTACATAAACCCACTCCTGTAAATTAACTACTCAGGTATTTGTCTAAGAATATATTTTACAATGCTCATAAACAACTAGTATTAAATGACTAATTTTAGTATTAAAATCATTTTCATTTATTAAAAATAAAAGTTTACTTCCCATTTCTAACAGAAACATCAAACTATAAGAATTCTAATTATCACCACACTATGAAATCTTAAAAACAAAAACACATTGTCAAGTTTAAGTGCTAAATAAGTCAATTTCAAGCCAAACATTGTCTCTACCACTCCTAACACCACTGCATTCAAATCAACTGGCTCACCTTTTCTGCTTTCCATTTATTTCAAGGTTAAGATTAGCGCCATTTAAAAAATGCCTGCAGTATCAATGAAGGCTTATGCTAATGAATAAAAAAATTCTCATGAGATAGAAACAATGTCCCAATATCTATTAGCATTCATATGTATTTTCTTTTATAAAAATGCAAACTACAACTAAGCAAAACTTGACAGGCTCTTAAGGTTCAAAGAGCTCCTTTATATTATCAATTTTAACATTGACTATTAAAACACATATACACACACATAAATGTGGTGCAATAACTATATAACTTTCAAAATTTAACATTTCATGGAACATTTAAGATCAAGTGAATAGCACTTTAAAATGAAAAGTGATCAAAAGCAGGTACAGTACACCCTGTATCATATATTACGTATGGGAAAACATTTCATTTTTCTCAGTTACGATTTGCCAATTTTACCTTCTACATTGAGCCCTTCTATGGTCCATGCTCATCGGCTCACCAATGGCATACACTCAAAGGATTCCTCTTTATGGGTAACTATCTCAGGACCTGATTTTATGAGCTATGATTTGGTGCTTGCAGCATCTTCAGCACTGTGTGTGAAAATGAAGGCAGTATTTTTTGAATATTTTTCTTTGTTGCAAAGATAAGCAGGAGTTTTAAAAGGATCAGCACATTTTAGAAATCGAATAAACAAAACTGATATGATGCTGCTTTAATACATTCATCTTAACTCAAAATATTTACCAGTTAATATTATCTATAAGAACACACAAACATTTAAAACTGGCAAAAAATAAAATAAATGCAGCGTCAAGTTATTAAAGTATTATAAATCAGAAAAATATTGGTTGCTATACAGATTATGAAAGGTTATTTGCTATACAGTTAACATTTCACTGATGCACATGCCTTTTATCAAACATACTGCCAGTATTTCTTTCGGTGTATATAAATAAAGAGTTAGGATAAGACAACTCAGTTGTCTTAAGAAAAAAATGTCATAATAAAACTCTGACCCATAACGTCCTTACTGAATTGCTATAGTTCAAGAACAAGAAAAAAAGTAAAGACTCCATAGCTTTGGAGGGCAAAATGTCTTGTCAATCATTAACAGACTGTGAAGGCTGTTGAAGTTTCTGACCAAATGATCTCCTAAATCTTGAAAACTATGTAACTTTCCTTTTAAAATTCTAACAATTTTTCTATATTAGGGAAAAGATTATAAAAAGTTTGGATGTAGTTTAATTACAGCAGCAATCTACTCATCATTTTTTTTTAATAAAAAGAAAAATCAAAATAAAAACATCACCTAGAAAAGTAAACAGTTGTTTGAACAACTTACAGACTTTCCACTGAAATGGTAGCATAAATAACAAAATACATTTTGGGGAAGCAGTAGCAGATTGCTTTTGAATACACAACCACAAAAACCTCACAGGGACAACATTAATGTACTGAAATATTTATTTATATATGTCCTTAGGTTGTGCTTACCTGTTGCTTTTTGCAGCAGAACCTAAGGTGGAAGGTCTGGGAAGGCACTGTGAAGTATAAATAATTGCACTGTTTGCAATTAATAAAGATTTTAAACCTTAAATGAATCAAAATCAACAGCCTCCAATTTGTGAGTTATGATACTGAATCCAACTGAAAACTCTCTCTTCAGTTTAATTAATAAATGCACCACTTTCCTAAAAGGTCATCTATAAAACAGTATCATGCAAAATAGTGAAACTGTTCACATCAATACCCTACTCTTAAACAGATAACTCCTTAACTATTAAAACTTCAAACTAGAACTACATATCCATATCTAAATAAGGGCAAGGGAAAAGTCACTCTAGGTTCTATAAGATAGTCAAAAACATTTCAAAATATCTACAATGAACTGTATCGCTATTTTCTACCCTATAAATAATCTCAACATTTATGTCCTGTACATCTTCCTTTTATAGTATATTCAGAACAACAAATGGTGCTCCACTACCAATGAAAGAACTAGTATATATATTTAGGAAATGGTATTAAAACCACTACATTGCTTAATATTTGCAAACTGAAAACCACCCTGTCTGATACATTTCAAGTCTTTCAAATTAATATATGATATGCATTATTTTACATTGAAAAGCAATATATTTTAGGAGCACCAATGAGTAATACTATTCAACTTTGTTAATGATGAGTTTTCTTTAGCTATAGCTAAAGCATATCAAAAATACTTACCCATTAAGCTCACTTAAAAAAAATACAGATCTATGAATATTCTATGTTAAATTAAGAAGCAGTTATGGTTTCCAAGATATAAGCACTGTATTCCAACATAATATTCAAACAAAGTACGGCATTTGCATTATGTGGAACATTGACAAAAAGATACTGTTGCAGTTCATCAATTTGTCATTCTGATGTACTTACAGTGCAATGCTCCTTGAAGGAACACAATCAAGGATGATACACAGCACAGTCCTCCTCACCCCTACAGAGCTAGTTCTATACTGGCTGGATCAAACCTGCACTTCAACAGACAATGGCAAGACAGACTGTATTTGCATGTAGTCTAATATATTAATATGCAAAGAGCCAACAAATATGCAAAGAGTAAAACAATGGATTTCAACAAAATATCAGAACTTCAGCATGAGTGTTATAGAGTAATAAAATGATTTCAAGTACATAAAAAAATTAAGTTGATTCAATGATTGGACTTGTGCATTTACAAAACGAAGCTTATCTATACTGCAAAAAGGAAAAAAAAAGAAAAAAGAAAAAAATAGCTCAAACATTTTCATACCGCAATAATGTTTCAATGGCAGATGCACTGTAGCTATACTTTTTGCATACTATTCACTTTTTCTACCCTACATTAGAAAGAAACACACTAATATTGCATACCTTGCAAAAGCTCCTTTACATGGAAAAAAAAAAAAAAACTGTTCTTATTATAGACTACTCATATTTACTATCTGAAAACTGTTTAAAATTAGTTATGCTGAAACAGTCTTGGAAATCAAGTAATTATCAAATTAAAAACAGAAAGGTTAACTGTTATAGCAGCAGTACAGGTCTGAAACAGTGGTCATGTATAAAAGGAAATTTCACTGTTAATGCAATGGAAGTATGCCAAAAGATCATTGTACACACATGCAGTTTTTAATCAAACAGAAGGAAAAAAAATGAAGATATCAGGATTACTTGTGCTGAAAACAGCCAAATACAATAAATGGAAAAGATCCTCCAATCTACTACTATACTGCAAGGGGGAAGAAAACATGCCAGTGTTTAAAAACTCAAATTAATATTTCATGGGGAAAGCTTATATATTTGTGTATATGTATCTTAATTTATCATTACTAAGAAATTATGAATTCTTTAAATACCCACATATCCAACTTACCGACACAGGAGGTTTCATATCATTTATTGTAAAGCACAAAACAGGCATTTTAAAAGTGAAAGTATACATTGAAAAAAGTACATTTATATCACAAAGCATTAACCACATAATAGTTGCAAATACATTTGCTGGAATGTGTACATCTACACTAAATACTAAAAACAAACCAATTTTCATTTCTACACAGAAATATTAACCTCCTATCAGTAGTGATAGATATTTTGTACATTTTCAAAAAAAAGAAAAAAGAAAGAAAGGAAGAAAGAAAGGAAAAACACTATTTAAACCAAAAACAAAATTAAGATCTTCATCAAGCCGTCTGCATCCATATATTTAACAAAGGTTTTTTTCCCCCACACAATGAAGCAAATACTGTATTGTCCACTTCTTATTATTGGCCCTGTGCAGAAGAGATACATAAGAAATACACAAAAAGTTAAAGAAAATCCTTTAAATGGAGCTAACTCAGGAGTGAATCCTCTAAGAAAGAAAAACTGGTTAATATAAATGGTGGTGGCTTCTTGCATGATTTGCAAATCCCTGGGGGAAAAAAGTTTATTTTTAAAATCAAAGGCATTATAGAAATATTCAGCACTCAGATGCCAGAAACAATATAAAAAACAAACAAAAAACCCAAACAATATACCACAGTACTTCATTTATAGTTTTGCCAGATAAAAATTTAAAAGGCAAACAGAATCCCAGACAAAAGTAAACATGCATAGAACATGACTGAAGTTGAAATCAACACATGAGCAAGTTTCTTATACCTGAGGTGCTGGAGGATGCTGCGGCATTCCCTGGGGACTTGTCTGGGCATAGTAGGCTGCTTGCTGTCTATAGTACTCAGCCCAGGCTGCACTATAATCTGGCTGACCACCTGGTGGAGCACCAGTAGGAGCAGGAACTGCTTGACCTTTTGAGAAAACAGAACAACTTTGTTGCTGTAACCACAATTAAAAGCCCCAAAGAATCTCATTTCTAATAAAAACAATACCTTGCTTCTTGTAATATTCCTCCCAAGCCTTTGAATAATCTTGTGTCTGCCCTTGTTGACCTAAAAAAAACCCCCTAAATTTTAATACAAAATTATATCCACTGTTAGTACAGGTTATAAAGACAAAAGCACAGAGGGTCAGAATTGCTCCTGTTCTATTTTTAATATTCCTTAGTGTCAAAAAACTACTCTGTAATTAAAAAATCAAAATGCTCTTTAGTTGCCTTTTGCCATACTATCATAACTTTCAGTTCTTTATCATTACTCTTTAATAAAAAACAAAACTATCTACATAGTTTCTTGATTCAGTTACAGTTTTTATGAACTTTTCATATTCTAAATTGAGTCAGAAACATGCAGTCCACGGTTCCCCAATGGTTATGTTGGGGGGAATGAATGGACCACTATTTTTTGTAGTTTTTTTCTCCATTTGGATTTGTTACACTACAAGTTTTAAAATAAAATGAAAATCTTCAGTGAAGAGAAAGAATATTTCTTGAGAAACAAAAACCCAGTTAAAAGCTATTATTTTAAGATCTGGCCAAGATTTGTTGTTTCCAGATTAGTAACCTATAAACTATGTATAACACTAATCTTCAAGATATCTTTTAATTAATAAGATATTTACTTTTAATATGCTGTGCTCAAATGATAACAATTTTATTAAAAATAACCTGATGCAGGACATAATAATCACTATTGAAGAGGTTCTAAGCAACAAAATCAATGAAACAAAGCTCAACAGCTTTCAAAAAGAGGTCTTTTTTCTAGGTGACTTTCCTGAATTAAGAGACTAAAGAGACATAATCAAATGTAATGCATGAAACTTGAATGGGCTCTGCATAAAAAAAAACAAAAACATAATGACACCCCACCTCTCACACACAAGTAGCTACAAGGCATTGTTTCTGACAACCAGGGAAACTTAAATATTATTAAAAGTTTATTTAGAGCAATAGCTTGCAACTTACTTTGAAATGGCTCGGGCACCAAAACAAGTATATATACACACAAAGTACATATGACAAGCTTTTTGAAAATGGTGAATCTGGACAGAAAACATACATATGGGTGTTTGCTGTACTGGTTTTCCAATTTTCTGAAGGTATTAAAAAAAACAAAAGTTGGAGAGAAAGAGAACATAATTTTTCCTACTTAAGTCCTTTATTTGAACAGAATTTTATTTAGTTTGTAATTCATCTGGCTTTATGAAGTTATGACAGCCAGACAAAAAATACTCAGAGAAAGCCGTTTTATGTTTGTTAGATGTGCCAACAAGGCAGTTTTAGAAAATAGTCTATTACCATCACAAAACTGGTTAAAGAATAAAAGCAACTGAGGAAATAAAAATTGAAGATGTATGACTTAAAAAACATAAACTCCCCCTACTTATACAGGTAGCAGCACAGAGAAATCCTATATTCTCTCAACAAAATTATCACACTTTCGTTTTCCACACTTTTTAGGAAATGAATTTAATATTTTTATGTTATGAGACACAATTCAAGTAAATCTAAAATCAGTCTCAGTATTTAGACAACTGCCAAATATCCTGGTACTAAGAATAAAAAAACCACACAAATTTTTTGAGGCCAAATTTATTTAAGGCAACAACGTCCACTTCAGGTTTAAAAATGGAATTAAACCTCATTCAAAGATACTCATTTTTAGAGTGGAAAAAACTACAGTATCATGGAGACATATCAAGAAAATATCAAACTCAAATGTTCACTGAAAAAGCACCCTCCAACTCAAATATTCCTGTGGAAACCTGAAACTAAACACGTTAAAACTCCAAGGAACATAAATACGTGGTTAAGTCATCAACACCTGACACTCCAATCTTGAAAGCATCCATAGAAAAGCTCATTCCACTCCTATATGAAGAGCAAATGCGATTGTTTTTGCTCAGCTGCAAAGTAGGGAAAGAACTTTTCCCATCTAACCTGTTTATGTTTTGGCTCTTCCTCTAGCCTCTTGCCCTTTGGAAAGGCATGTACTTAACTTGTTCCCTTTATTCTTTTCCTCAGTTCAAAAACTGTTTTGAACTGGGACAGTTTAGTTTATACTTCAGTAGAACATTACTTAACATTTACATGTAACTTGACATTGTATGAAGTCTTAATTTCATTTCATTCCAGAGATAAGACTTACCACCCTAGAGTTCACATGCAACACTCCATTACAGCCTAAGAGACGGTTCTGCGTGAATAGATTCCTTCCTCAGACACCTTTATCTTTCCCACAACCACTCTCTCCTGGCTCTTTTAAAGGCTTAAGGTATCATATAAGGGTTCAGAGTTCACCATATCAGAGCTTAACATTGAAAGGGCCTCCCTGAAGTCAAACTTATCCCCAAATGTCATCACTGACTCTCTTTCAAATAGAAACTTCCTATATCTCTATTTTGAAGCCCTGTTTCTCTTTAGGGAGTTTACTTCTTAGAAAAGTTTTCTTTCGTTCTAGCTTCAAAAGCGCACACATCCAGATTACTATCATTCCTTATATGGCAGCAATATGAATTTCTCAGTTTCTTTCATTAACCTTCAAGAATTTTCTTAACAGAAAAAGCTGAAAAGGCTTCAAAGTCTGGGACAGTTCTCCTAGTACATCCAGAGTCCTAGGAAATCCTACCTCTGCCACTTGGAAGAGTAAAAATCTCTACAAATAAAGGAGTTGATTATAAAGATCATTCTCTCTCCCTGGTATTCTAGTACTCTTTTCTTTCCCTCCCATTTAAAAACATCAAAGATTAAATTGATTAGTTTTATCCTTTAAGGTCTCTTATTTGTAGCTATCCTAAGAAGGTCTTAAGTACAAGCAATGCACTTAGAAAAAATCAAAGTGGTTAAGTAATCAATCATATATATATATATATATATATATATAAAATCCAAAACAAAAGAAAACTTACACAGGAAAAATAGATCTTGTAGCTATCATCAAGGGAGAAGGAGATGGCAACACACTCCAGTATTCTTGCCAAGAGAATCCCGTGGACAGAGGAGCCTGGTGGGCTGCTGTCCACGGGGTCGCACAGAGTTGGACACGACTGAAGCGCCTTAGCATGCATTCATGCATTGGAGAAGGAAATGGCAACCCACTCCAGTGTTCTTGCCTGGAGAATCCCAGGGACAGAGGAGCCTGGTGGGCTGCCGTCTATGGGGTCGCACAGTCGGACATGACTGAAGCGACTTAGCAGCAGCAGGTATCATTAAAGATCACCTAACATTATTTAAGATTTACATTTAAGGGGAATCATTCAACCAGTTCATTTTGCTCATAAAATTAACAGCTTAAACTTGCAGTGGTACAGAAAAATAACAAGTGAAAAGAAGCAAGGGTTAAGGAGGATCTTCAGTCAAACATAGTGTTTTAAGTTATTTCTATACCACCTTTTTCCACAAAGGTTTCAAGACAGACAAGCAGACTACCTCTATAATTACAGTTTTATACAGCAGTCAGCAGGGAAAAGAACACAACTTTTAAAAAGACAAAGTGAAATGTCTACCCTTAAAAATAAAGATTTGAATGGCAGATTATACAACACATTTTGGGTGAGTAAAACGTGAATTTATTAAATACCTAAGTCTACCAACAAGGTTTGTTTTTACCCCATTTCAATATTAATGTAGGGATCATATAAAGCATACTGCCCATTGTGAAAATACAACTCTTTAACGTTTAATAATCACGCTACTTCATAAAAGCTAGAGTGACCACAGGTCATGACCACTATGTTGTTAAGGAATGATTTACTAATAGCATTCCCAGTTATTCTCAACAGTATCCCAATTTGGGCAATAAATTGTGTGATCACCCTAATTATAGTATTCTGCCTTAAAGTATTTTTAAAATTTCTTTTCGCAGAATTTCAGTTGTTGTAGATCTGCCTGAGATAAGCTGGGTCAAGCTGGCCCACAAAAACAAAACATTCTTATCACCAGTTATATGTACTTTGACATAAAGATTAATAGAATCACCATTCTGGAAATTTTTTTCTGTGAAAAATGGCAAACCTTCTTTGGCAAATAATCCTGAAATTTACACTGAGAATCAATCACAAGTAGACTGTTATCTTATGATAAACCTATCACCAATAGATACTTTCAATATCAGTGCAGAATGGGCAAGTTTGTATGATTAGCTTGTCTGTCATTTAATTTTAAATGACTAAGAGAATAAACACCCGAGAAACAGCCTGATCTATCCAGAAATATATCATCGGATTTGAAATGGTCCCTGAAAAATGCAAACTCAGGAGACAGGTTCAGAACTTGGGCCTTCTTAAGAGTTCCAAAGTCTGGTTCCACCACTCTGTAGTTGTGTGACTTGTTTCCCAATCTGTACATGTGTACATGCGTACATGTACTGTACATGCACATATGTACTGTACATGTGTCAGTAGCCCCCCACCATCCCCACCCATGGTTTTGTTTTCTGCAGTGAAGTGACCTAAGGTCAACCGTGACCTGAAAATACTAAATAAACAATTCATGAAGTTTTAGACTGCACAACATCCTGAATAGCAGGATAGAATCTCATGCTGTCCCTTTACCTAGCATATCCCACCCATTAGTCACTCAGTAGCTATCTTGTTTATATTGACTGTCCTGGTATTGCTGTGCTTGTGTGTCCAAGTAACCTTTGTTTTACTTAATAATGGCCCTAAAGTGCAAGAGGAGTGATGCTGGCAACTAGGATATGCCAAAAAGGCGGCTTTTCCTTTAAGTGAAAAGGTAAAAAGCTATCTATTTAATAAGAAAAAAATTGTATGTTGAGGTCGCTAAGATCTACAGGAAGAACAAATCTATTAAACTGTGGCAGAAAAAAATTCACCGAAGTTTTGCTGTCACTCCTCAAAATCCAAGTTACGGCTACAGTGTGTGACATATGGTTGGTTAAGATGGAAAAGGCATTAAATTTGGACAAGGTAATTTTGAGAGAGGTCATTCATGCACACTTTCATTCAATATAATTGTTCTATTTTATTAACGTTGTTACTCTCTTACTGTGCCTAATTAATAAACCTTGTAACAGGAAAAAAGCATAGTACATATATAGAGCTCAGGATGATCTGCACTTTCAGGAATCCATGCAGGGAAGGGCTTAGAACATATCCCCCATGGGTAAGGGGGGCAGGGAACCACTGTATAGTTCTTTTCACTCACAGGAGTTTGCAATAATGTATTTGCAAAGTACTTTTATTAACAACTGTACTCTCCATTAGAATATAATAACCAGAAGGGTAGGACTCCGAGGTGTTATGCCCACAATCACATTCTCAGCATCTTTGTTTATTGAATGAAGACAGCAATTCTAGGTGACTGTTTCCTTTTCCATATATGCAAATGTTATTTAATTAACTTCCTTTATCACTGTAGGTTACTTCTGTATCTGTTTATTTTGCAGCAAAAAATAACATTGCACACAACCAATTTTTGCTTGGTGCTCTATATTTTAGTTCCAATTAGTAAGTGGCTGATAAATGTGTTTAGAAATAAGAAAATTTCTTAACCACAATTTAAACAATGATTTGTAATGACCATGATACTTGAGAGAGTTCAGTGATTTTGGAATGTATCCTACACATCAAGATTTTAAATTATTGAATGAAAGAAATCCAAGGTACTAAAACCATGGAAAAAACATGCTTTTTATAAAAACCTTTAACCTTTTAGTGTGGTATTTACTGAATATTTTAATTTAATAAAACGCATAAAAAATGAAATGTAGAACATACCCATTTTCTTGTAGTACTCTTCCCAAGCCTTGGTATAATCAACCTGTCCAGCTGGAGCTGGATTCTGCTGATCTCCTTATTCAGGAAAAACATAAAAAAATTATGATTAAGATTTTTAGAAAGCAATTTTGGCTCTCCTGGGGTTATTTTTGTCTATGTGTGAGGGGAGTTGGGAGTAGTCTGTCATGGGGACTGAGGGGAGGGAAATGCTGTGTGGTAGCGGCATCCTTGCTGGTGCCAAAGACCTACCCAGGATTCTGGGGGAACAGAGATAGTGGGCAGAGAGATGGTCTATTTATCTAGAAGAGTAGTTATACTGAGCATGTAAGTAAATTCATTGGTCAAATAAGAAAACACACTGAAGATACCAGGTCTTTCACCATGTATAAGCATGGAAAACAGAAAAGCTAGGAAAAAACTTTCAAGTCTTAGAATAGAATTGCAGGTTATATGAATGTATAGTTTAAAAAACATATACACATATGGATATTTATGTATTTTTATATGTATGTAGGTATGCATGCATGTAAATTCATTTCCTAGTTCTGCACACTGAATGGAGCTAGTTGCGTTAACACCTCAGTGACAACGAACACAACTATTTAGCTTCTAAATATCATCATCCACTAAAAAAAATCAGGGCTCCTTGGAAAAATGGTTAATTCAAGGGCTGAAGCTCCAAAAGCACAAAGTAAGCATCTTATTGTGCAAGAAAGCAGGAAAGTGCTTAAAGAAATGACAGGCATGTCAAAAGAATACAGGAGCCATCTTGAAGGTGCTCCCGACTGGCCAATCCTAGGGCAATCTGGCAAGTTTAAAATATAACCTACTAAATCCACACTGACATAAAGAAATAAACAGAAAAAAAAGGAAAGCTCTTTCTTATAGTAAATATAGTAAAATACCACCTAATAAATGTAGAAAAAAATTATCATATTTGTAATTGAAATTAGGTAGGCAGTATCAACGAACGCTAAGGCCTTCAACGAGGAACAGAATCCTAAGTTTAGTTGAGAAATCTTAGAAAGTTTTCTAAGGAAGTTTAGCTGTGGTGTTATGTTTTGATCAGAAAGGTAATTTCTCTTTGCTCTAATAGTTTTATAATTTGTACTAGTTCTTTATTTCTGTTCTCATTTGTTTTTAAAAAAAGTTAAAATTATAAATCACATCTAATCAAACTGAACTGTAAAACTTCTACTGTCTTTAAGGAAAACAATAAAATTATCCCACTTGTCCTGCCAAAAAGAATAGAACAGTGGTGTAATCACAGTATAACTCTCCTGACAATATTAATTTCAAAGAGAAAAATGGTGATTTTATAGAACCTTGGCAGACTTCATTCATTTTTTTGCGTTGTTCTTGCCATATTGTATGTAAGCAGGAAACATGATCATGACCTCATCTTCATGAGAAAAGGTTGAAGGGACCTATGGTTGACCCATCACAAAAGGTCTGTACTCTTTTGAAAGAAAAAGATAGGAATTATTTTTTATTTTTGATTGGTGAGAAACTGTTGGAACAACTGGTGAAATGGAGTAAGGGCTATGCCTTGGGATAGTAAAATATATCAGTGTTGATTAACTGATTTTGAATGCTGTGTGATGGTTATATATTTTTTGAGAAACACAGAAAGGAGTACTTAAGGGTAATGGGCCATTAAGTCTACACTTTGGTCTTAATGATTCTGAAAAAGACTAATGACAATAGATATGGACACATAAGATAGGGTGATGGAACAAATGGGGGCGATATACACATTTAACAGCTAGGTTATCTGGGTATTCTTTGTAATGTTCTTACAACTTTTATTGGTTTACCAGTTATCTCAAAGTAACTTGTTTTTAAAAAGCGAAGGCTACTTACTTAAGCTATTAACTGAGTGTTATAATATGGGGGTATTATACACTGATATACTTCATATATATAAAAAATAAAATTCTTTAGTTACCATAGTTACCTTGTCCATTGGTCTGGGTTGTAGTTGGTGCACCAGCAGGAGCTGCAGGTGGTGGCTGTGCTTGTTGCTGATAATAGTGAGCATAATAAGCAGCCCAAGCTGCTGAATTTGGATCCGTTCCTGTTTTAGCTAGAATAAACAAAAGTTATGCATTTGCATCTAAAATCCATAATCAATTAATCACACACACACCCCTCTCTAACAAATAAACAGAACTCCAAGTTAACTGGACATTAAAAAATAGAAGGTGAAAAAAAAAAAGGTGGAAACTTCCAAATTCTTCTATTATTTTTACTGCCATAATTATCTTTTATTTTAGAAAACTGAGGCTCAGATAAGTTCCTAGAAAACTAGCTTGTGGCAGAGTTGGGATAGGAATGAAGATCTTTTGGTTTCAAATCCAATGCTTTGTCTTAAACCATCCTGTGTGGTTTTCCTAAACCAGGTTTGCCTCAAGCACAACAGTCCTTATGAAGAATTTACAGGGACTAGCCCGCACAAGAAACAATTATTTTGTAACTATGAACTGTCGTTATCTTTTTTCAATGAAGAGTAAATTAAAAAATCTTGGAAAAAGAAATCGAGATTAGCCATATTTCATCTTATCATATTCAAATGATTATCCTAAAAGATAAATTTGATATCACTGTCCTATTTGAAATTCTTTATTTCCTGGTGTCTTCAGGACTAATAAGACTTTTAAGGACAGCATATCATTCAATGTTTTTACCAAGATATTTGGACAGCCTGGCTTCTACTTTCCTTTCCAGCCTCTCTCTGCTGTCAGTATGTTTCCAATACTCAAGGTCTGAACACAGTAAACTGGCTGTATTTTTCAAGTCATCATGCTCAGCATGTTACGTTTCCGGTGCACTTGATTGACCCTCACTCAATTCTTCATAAAAAACTGATTCATTAACGGTATGGGACTTTTCAGTCAGAAAAAGAAATCCTCTTACTGATTCTCTTACACTTGGGAGTATCATAGGATGCTATATCTTTATTAGTTTATATCCTCAAGAAAAATCCTGGTAATTTCCTTAATCAGTCTATATCTATATGAAAACCAGTCTACACATATGACTAATACATACCGAGAACTTACTAAATTCATTCAATATAATATTCATTCATCATTTTATAGATAAAACAGACTTAGAACGGTTCAAAACTTGCTTGCTTTCCCATTATTAGTAAGTTGTAAGAGTAGGACTTATTCAAGTCTCTTACCTTCTGAAGTCAAAGTTATGGGACTTACTACACAAATCTTTCATAATCCACTGGTTTTTTATAGGAAGATTTAATTCAGAGAATACTGACTTTATTGTCAATACAGGGCCACATTAAAATACCAGGGTATTTAACACAAAATCACAATTTCATTTAAATAAAATATTTTGGTTTTACGAGCAATATCTAATCCTAGATGCTATCTTTTAGCTAAATGGGTAAGTAACTTCTTTCCCAAAGGCACTGCTGAAAGCCACACTGAGTAATACCAATTCTTAGAGGAGTGGTGACTTCACCACTACTCCAAGTGGGAAAATGGGAAAATGAGATTGTGATACAGAGACCACTTCTTTTTTAAAAAAAGCAAAGGAAGATCAGCTTTTACTTTCTATACAGAGATATTCAAACATATAAACCATCTTTTTTTTCAGTAGCTTGAATGAACAGAAAATAAAGTTATATATAATTTTTGATATTTGGTCTTCATCAGCAACTCTCACTTCAAGGGCATGGCCTCATACAAGGACATCGACTCTTCTAGGCATAAAGTATAGATGAGGAGCTATATTATTTTTTTGGGGGGGGGGGAGAATAAGTGCTTTACGATGTTGTGTTGGTCAAAGACCACTTCTTATTTCCATCATTTCTTTCAATCTTACTACTTACCTGAACAGAGCACCCAAATAGGTGCAATCCTACAGATTCAAGTTAACCAATATAAATCTGCCCCTTAACTTTCTCAGTCTCTTCAGTGGTGTGATTCTTCGGCTTAATAACACCATGCCTTAGCTTACAAGAGGGAAAGAAAAGTTCTTCCATTTTTAAAGACTAACTTTTAGACTATTATACAATAAATCATATTTGACCTTTCTTCTGATAAGTCCTTCTATTAATTGCACAGTATTGCTAACACTTTAAGTACCCTCTTCTGCCTCACACTCAGACGTCAGCACACTTCTTGAATGTGTGAGAGCTAAGGTTATTTGCTGTCATGTTGTATCATTGTATTCCAAAAAGCATACCTCTTATCATTCCAAAGAGCATGAAAAGTGAAAGAGAAAGTGTGTGTCACTCAGTAGTGCCTGACTCTGTGTGACCCCATGGACTGTAGTCCACCAGGTTCCTCTGTCCATGGAATTCTCCAGGTTAAGAATAGTGGACTGGGTTGCTACTCCCTTCTCCAAGGGATGTTCCTGACCCAGGATTGAACCCAAGTCTCCTGTATTGCAGGTAGATTCTTTACTGAGTTACAAAAGGCATACCTCCTATGAAATTAAGGTATGTTAAATATAGGACCACCCTCAAATACCAGAAATGTTTAATAAAGTTCACTAAAACAATTTTATTCAAATCAATTTAGCTGTTTTTAAAAATATATATACTAGTATGAAAAGGAATCCTTAATTCAGTACCTTCCTACAAAATACTCCAGTGAAAGGGTACACAGTAGGTGAGAAAAAAGGATCATAAAAATGACTGGTTTCAATAATTCCCTCTTTGACCATAATGGAAAGAAAACTACAGGGTAGGAAAAGATTCATGAATAGGATAAAATGTAACAAATGCATAAATCCCGATCTGAACAGAAAAAATCTTTATCTAAATGAAATTTAATTAAGAGTTCCATGCAGATATTTAACATAGGCCTGACTTTTACTCTAATATGTGAAGTTATCATATCAGGAATACTAAAATAGACAACTTGCATATCTTATTTGAGAATCTATAAGTTTAATGCCAAAGTATTAAACACTTCAATTGACTCACATAATTTTGTAAACAAATATACATTATTCTTTCAAGGATAATGTCACAATTAACAGACGATATATTTGATGGCACTAGCTTCTAAAACCTAACACACTACTTCTTCCTATAGCTTTGGCTTTTAGCATTCCGCTGTATCATTTCAGAAACAGAGAAAGCCAAATGAGGCAGAAAAAGACTCATGAAAACAGACCATATTCACAACAGTCTTATTTGTTATAGTAGAACCAGAAGCTAACACTCCTGTTAAAGGCGTGAAACAAGTACAGAGAATACACACAATACAGAATCAACACTAGAACACTTAATGAATGTAACAGGAGTGGAAAGCAAAAACACAGATTATACCCAAATGATAATCATCTTTTACCTGGATCTGGAGGGGCTTGTTGCTGCCAATGTGGATATGCATTTCCCCACCCTTGGGGAGCATAAGGGGCTGGAGGGCCACTGAAAAGACAGAAATCAATTTAAAAATACAATTTACCAAATCTGTAATCTTTGAGGAAAAGCCAAGAGCAAAACTCAAACTTACTGAGGGGCAGGCCCAGGCGGTCCTGGATTATAAGGTGCAGGGTTATATGGTCCCATTGGAGTTCCTGGTCCAGGAGGCCCAGGAGGCCCATGGGGGCCAGGGACACCATGGGGCCCATGGGGTACAGGTGGCCCTAAAGGATTTACTGGGCCCTGCAAAAAGACAAAAAACACAGACAATAAAGGTTAAACATTTCAAGGGTCAAATAGCCTTTCATTTCTACCCCTTTACCTACCTACCATCTAAAATTTATGTTTTTCCTTATTCCTTACCCATGCTGCAAAAATCTAACTCTACCACATTAGTGAGACACGTAAAATTAATTCAAATTAACAGTATCAGCAAAGACCTGATACGTTTCCTTTATCTTTTACTCTTTTCAGACTACTCCCCTTTCCTTGTACAATGCTTACTTTTAGTATTTCCTTTATCACGGAAGCTTACCAAACATCGAGTTCTTCCTTTACCCCTTCTCTCTCTGCACCAACTCTACATCTACTCTCCTAACATTAAGCAGAGAAACATCTTAACAACAGAGTGAAACGGCTGAATACTTTACCAATCACAAATACTAAACCAATAATATTTAGCAAGTTCTTCTTCAACAAACTAGCCCTCCTCCTAGCCCTTCTGTCACTGAACCCCATTTGAATCAATAAGTTCATTTTCTCCCTTACCCTTTATCATAATTTTCCAAATACAACAAAGATTCCCTTTTAATTGATTTAATAAGTCACAGACTATTTCATATCCATTTCATGTTACAGCATAATTAATAATGCTTAGCTGATTCCTTTTTGATAATCCAACTTCTAAGGACCACTAGATTCATCTGCTCTAAAATAAAATACGGTTAGTACTCACCATGTGACAATTTGGACAAAAATGCTTAATCTATTTGGTTGTCAATTTTCTCACAATAAAACTAAACTTCAAGACTTTTAAAATACCTTTATTAACATTATCCCTCACTTCTATTAGCCATAACCTATCCTTTTCAAAGAGTAAAAAAAAAAGATTACTGGAAAAAAAGTAGCAATATTTTTATAGGCCAGGCATGCTTTTAAGTGATAGACATACATACTTCAAACACTTCATCCCAATAACCCTGTAAGGTAGGTATAATTATCCTCACTTTCAGAAGAACGAGAGGCAAAAAAAGAGTGTAAATATCTTCCTCCAAGACCATGCAGTCAATAAATGATTAAGAGTATTTTGAACCCAGATAGCCTGACTCAGGAGTCCATGTTCTTAACTGCTTTTCCAGAACAACCTGTCTTGTATGTCCATCAATCCAAATGCAATCCTAATTTTGCTAATGATAGCAAAATCCAAAACCAAGGCGCACTAATCATTCTTCTGGCATCAATTCTTGCCATTACTGAGTCCAACAATTATTTTCCTCATGTTTTTGAATAATTACACTTATTCTCCTTATCAGAGAACTTAGAATATTTGTGTATATTTTTAAGGTATTCTTTGTGTCTTTTCTACACTTATTTTTGTTTTCAAAAGCACAGAGAACACCTCATTCAGAGCACGGCAAACATCAAGGAGAATTTTCCTATGATACTCTAATTATTATTAATAAATTAAGAAGCTCCCTCACAATGTTAATTCTTCACAGTAAAATAACCATAGTAAAGCAGTATTTTGGGGGCTCCAAAACCACTGCAGATGGTGACTTCAGCCATGAAATTAAAAGACGCTTGCACCTTGGAAGAAAAGTCATGACCAACATAGACAGCATATTAAAAAGCAGAGACATTACTTTGCTAACAAAGGTCTGTCTAGTCAAGGCTATGGTTTTTCCTGTAGTCATGTATGGATGTGAGAGTTGGACCATAAAGAAAGCTGAGTGCCAAAGAATTGATGCTTTTGAGCTGTGGTGTCGGAGACTTTTGAGAGTCCCTTGGACTGCAAGGAGATCCAACCAGTTCATCCTGAAGGAGATCAGTCCTGGGTATTCAATGGAAGGACTGATGCTGAAGCTGAAACTCCAATACTTTGATGGAGTTTTGCCACCTGATGGGAAGAACTGACTCACTGGAAAAAGACCCTGATGCTGGGAAAGATTAAAACCGGGAGGAGGAGACGACAAGATAAGATGGTTGGATGGCATCACCGACTCAATGGACATAAGTTTGAGTAAACTCTAAGAATTGGTGATGGACAGGGAGGCCTGGAGTGCTGCAGCCCACTGGGCTGCAATGAGTTGGACACGACTGAGCGACTGAACTGAACGCACTATTTCCTCATTTTTTTCAAACTTTGGTTAGGCATCAGGATCACCTGGAACATTCTTCTAAAGTTAGACACAGGGCCCTACTGCAGACATTCTGAACTACAACTATATGTTACATGTCGAAATGTAAAGCACACAAGCTGTCTACATTCCAAATTCCCCTAGATGACTGTCTGGAGCCAGTCTAAGAAATAGGATAATGTAAAGTTCTACTGTAATGAGGGGGGAGGCTTCTGATTCTTCTTTGCCTCACCAAGGTTGCCCTTAATAAATAGTAAGCAAGTAGTAACAGTCACCAACTAAGTCCTTAATAAATAGTTACTTCTGGTTAACTATCTATACCTTTTAGTATTTTTCACAACCCTCTACTAACCCTAATGTTATAACTCAAGTAATGTCATCTTGTCTTATTTACCCACACTCTAGTACAAGATTTTGAATACCTGTAACTATATAACTTTATTTTTTTTTTTTTTACTGCTGAAGAATTTTTCTATATTGTTACGTATCTATTATGTGATCAGATCTATTATTTTAGAGTAGAAATTATCATTTTTCTTACAGGAACATATGAATTAATGTGTATCTATTATGTGATCAGATCTATAATTTTAGAGTAGAAATTATCATTTTTCTTACAGGAACATATGAATTAATGTCTTATTTAACTAACAGAACCTGTGCTAACAATAAGAAGTTTAAAGCATACTCACACCAATCTTTTCTTCTATGAGTTGCCGAGCATAGTCTATTTGCTGTGGAGTGCCACGAATTGTAAATAACTTCATATTAGGATCTGCATTAGGTGGAGGATTTCTCTGAAGTTCTATTCTTGCACCAGACTGTTGGCTTATGCTTTTTATGGTTTCACCCCCTAAAATCAAAACACAGTAATTTCTTTAAAGATTCACAGGATACAAGTGGAGCTATTCAAAAGGAATTGGTTACAATTAAGGAAGTTTTGAACAGTATCCCATCTGCCAATATGCTATTAGGAGTTTCCATTTATTCTACACTTTAAATTAACTTACATAATATATAATCAATCATAATCATACATTTTAAAGTTTTAAGACATAATTTAATATGTCTGTACCCAACCTTAAAATGAATTATAGCATCAACACTTGGTTCAAAGAAATTGCTTTTATGAAGCAATGAGAAACTAACACAATGACTTAAAAATTCAAAAATTTAAAAACATGCGTCAGGAAACAGCAAAGTAAACAAGAACACTCAAACCATTTTCCAGGTGAGAAGAAAAGTTTTTTACACTAATAATTAAACTGCTGGTCCTCTTCTCTAGAAACCAATGTGATTCAAAACCCACTCTGGATTTAAGTGCGTATAAGGCCGTTCATTTAAGCTTTAGCTGTTACATATCAGCCATATCAGCATTAAGAACACTTTCCTACTAAAATACAGCCAAAGAAAAATCATTGCTATTCATCTACAACAGTAACAGAAATGGCATCCAGAAAATCAGATAAAGTGTTAAATAATTAACCACACATTAATAGTTTTAAATACATTGCCTTTTCCTATTATCAATCCAGTTTTCCCAGTGGGGACAATGAAATTAAACTCCTGTAGTCCACCAGGTGGTCCCATGTTCCAGTTGCCTTGACCTCTACCTCTTCCTCGACCACCAGGTCCAGGTCCACCAGGATTACCAGCCTAAAGAGGGCAAAGACAAAGTCAGAAGAGTCAGAAACTCTTCTTTCCACAATAAAATTATCGCATGTCTATTTTCCTCAACTTTCATTTTCCTAAATCTGAAATTTAGAGAAATTGGGAGACGCCATCCACCCCTAAACCAACAAACCACCACCACCTTTTATTCTTTTTTACTGTGGTGAATAAGCTAGTGCACTTATGTGGCTGCCCTGCTGCTCCAAGATGTGTACCTTAAAGCAATTTAAACTTTCTAGCAATTAATAAAGTTTCATCAAACAGATTTTGATTTAAAAACTATGGAGGAGGACTTCCACATTTAATGAAGGAAAATATTCTTTAAATGAAAACAATGAAAATATTAACATTCTATCAAACCTGAACACTTCGAAGAAGGTCTGTAATAATTTCTGCAGCATGTTGACATCTGTCTGGAGGTCCTGTTATTTGTGCTATTCTATCAGGTGTTGTTCCATCATCTTCAAAACAATGAAACCAAATTGTATTAACTTAACATTAAATTAATGTGTCAAAAGAAATTGCCAGTAATGCTTAGAAAATTAAACGTAAGTACTCACCTGGCTTAAACTGAATTCTAACACCAGCATCATTTTGTATTTTTTTAATCATCTCTCCATTTCTTCCTATTACGATGCCAACAGCAAATCTTGGAATGGGGACCTTATGCAAAGAAAACCAAGTATCAGGAAAGCCCTTTGCTGAGAAATGCATCTGCCTCAAACCACAGAGGCACTGTTTATGTAGAAGAGGTCAAAAAGAGACAAAATACACTGCATTCTAAGTAGAGAAGTTGGGGGGGATGGGGGTGGTACAACACAATGCTAGAGAAGGCTATGTAACACAAAGCAGGAAAAATCCTACATTCTTTATGGGCGAGCATTCAACCATTTCTGAATTGGTATCTTTACTTACATCTATTCCTTCATTTCCTCCTATTCTTGACCCATACTCATTTCGAACTTCTCTGAAACCACCTTGATCACGAATTAACTCTAACACCATCTCCTTGGCTTGCTGAAGTAGAAAAAAAATTACCCAATTTAGAAAGCGTGTCTCAAAACATTGTAATTATTCATGCATGTTTTGCCCGCTGCCATCCATCCCAAACCCCACTCTGTAAAATATAAACTTAAGTTTACTTGAACTTTGTATGGGTCTCCTGTAATCCTAAGAGGTTTGTCAGCACCAGTATTCTGAGGTCCATCTTGGATCATAACCATTTTAACTCCAGCCCGTTCCTGTTAATCATAGAAATCAGATGGATTAACAAAAGGGGAGAAGGAGGAAACAGGCTTCAAAATAGAAAGTAATCATTTTACACAGTAATACCTGAAGCTGTTTAATAGTCTCTCCCCCCTTTCCAATAACTAATCCTGCTTTGCTAGCTGGAATCATGATTTCTTGAACCGCATTTCCTGGCCCATCACCATGATGGAAGCCAGGGGCTGGTCTTCCTTTTTCAACAATCTGGTCCAGTAACCGTTTTGCTGATCTGTTAACAAATAGTCAATACAAAATAATCAGGTATTTCATCCATCCCAATTCAGATTTAGGTGGCCTAAAAGTAAATTTTCAAAATTCAAAGGAAATATCATCAATATCAAAAACTGAAACCATGCAATAAAGTTTCCAGGTATATAATCTTCAATATTTTTAAGAACAGTATGAAACTTCCAAGAAGACATACCCTACTTCTAAAGTTATCTCAGAATAAAGCTCATTCATCTGAAAATTAAATGATGCATTTATTTGTAAAACTTTACTTTGGTTACTCATGTTAAAATTTATTTGTTCATTCAACAAATAATTTAAACATGTCAACTATATATGCCAGGTAGTATTCTAGGTTGGGGTTACAGCACTGAAATAAATAGTCAAGGTATTTGCTGATGTGGCTTAACTTTATTAAATAAGTAAAAACAGAAGGTTAAATAACTTATTTGTTAAGTGCGATAAAGAATATAAAAGCAAGATAAGAAGGACAGATTATATGTGTGTGTGAAGGGATGCTATTTCATGTAAAATAGATGAATGAGGAATTCCCTGGCAGTCTAGTAGCTAGGACTCTGCACTTCCACTGCAGTGGGGCATGAGTCCAATCTCTGGTCAAGCAACTAAGATCTGGGCAGCCGCATAGTAGTGATCAAAAAGTAAATAAATAAAAATAAACAAAAACTTTACCGATAAGGAGACATTTAACCCAAGACCTGAAGTACAGAAGTGACTATGAAAACATCTGGGGGGAAAACATCCCAGGGAGAAGAACTAAAGGATTCAAATGAGAAACATTCTTGGTGTCCTGAAAAAACAGAGAAGAGGCTAAACAGAAAAGAGGCTACTAGAACAGAGTGAGCTGGGAGAATGGCAAAGTATTCAGTGAGAAAGGTGGCAGGGAACCTGAGCCATGATAAAGACACTGACTTCTACTGTAAATGGTAAACCATTAGAGGGTTTTGAACAAAGTAGTATATGAATTGACTCACATTTTAAAAGGATCGGTGTGTCTGTATTATAATTGGACAAAGCTAAACAAACAAACAAAAAAATGGAAATACCTTGCAGTAACACAGCAAATGGTGCCAGAAATAAGATGACATGGAAGGTGGTAAGAAGAGACTGAATTCTAAATAAATATCGAAAGGTAAAATGACCAAGAGTTGCTTATGGATAAATGAGTCATAAAAGAAAGATAAAAGTATTAGAATAATTGTTACACAATGAAATGAGATGAATTAGATAAGTAAAAGAAAACGTATGGACTGGAAAAACAATGATTCTGTTTTTAACAAGCTAAACTTTGAGATGTGTAAAAGACATCCAAGTGGAGAGTATACTGAGGAAGCAACAGAATATATACATATGGAATTTAGGGAATGAAATCAAGGCTGAAGATTCAAGCAGTGAGCACCTTTTAAGTTTTTTGGTAAAAGAGACCTGAAAAATAGAAATGTGGGGTTCAAAGATGATTTTATGTTCAGATAGAGGGATTTTTAAAGCACGTTTATGTGCTTTTAGAAATTTTCTAGAAAAGGGGAAAAGTAATAATGCAGAAGAAAAGTTGGTTCAATTGCAGGAACAAAATCCTTCAGGAAGGAAGGACTAGAACATGATTTTCATACTTACTGGACAGACTCAGGTGTCCCAGTTAACATACAAGACCTTTCTGGAAGGCCACCACTGTCTACAAGTAAAAAGAAACAAAAATCTTAGGCCAAGAAAAGAGTAACAGCATCATTTTCACTAACAACTTTAAAAATGCTAGTTTTCTTGTGATTTTGAAAATTACAGCAAGAGAATAACATTACCAGGAGCTATCTGTATTTTACATCCAGATTCCTGTTGTATGCGTGAGATCTGTTCACCTCCTCTGCCAATTACTAGTAAGAAAAAAGAAAATTATTTGCTGAAAGGTTTTAAAGCGTATTTTGGATTATATCTTTTCAAAGTTTAAAAAAAATTAGATTACTTACTAAATCCAACCATTCCATCTGGAACTTTGTATTCTTCTGTCATTACAGACCTGCTAAGAAATGACAGAAACTAACATTTTTCTTCGAAGAAATGTAATTTGTTTACAAATAAAAATAAACATAGAAATCTAACAGCTTCTACAAGCTTAAACTAAGTTTGTAGGCAAACAGTTAAAATACTCAAAAGTAAAAATATGAGGCCTATGTAGCTAAAAAAGCAGATGGGGTGCAGTTCAGAATTATCATTTTAAGTATTTTTCCAAAGAGTGGCTAATTCCACCCATCCTTCCAAAGTATAAATGTATTTCACTCAAAAAGAGAACTGATCATTCACTATTACCTATTTGAGTCAAGGGAAAGGATTCACACACACACAGACATGTATATTCACTACATACTAACTTGGTTATATTTCACATTGAATTCAACTAAAACTTGCAAAATACTCATTGAAAAGCTTTTATTTTACTATACCTTTGCTGCTGATGCATCGGTGGTAACTGTGTTCCAAAAGCTGCCAAAAAATTAAATGAAATAAAAATTATTTTATTTAAATTGACAGATGTTTAACAATATAATCATTTAAAGCAATTCTACAATTTTCCCCTGACATAAGACAACATCTTGAAAAGAATAAAATTTTATGCAGAATACTTAAATCAATAGAGTTGGCAAGGACTCAGCGAAAGGGCAGACATTATTAGCAATAGCATTAAAAAATGTCCTTTTTCAAGTGTTGTTAAGCAACAATTAAGAAATGGAACTGTAACACTTATGCTCACAGCAGCACGATTCACAATAGCCAAGACATGGAAACAATCTAACCGTCTGTTGACAGAAGAATGGATAAAGGGAGATATGGTATATATACAGAGTAAAATACTATTAGCCATAAAAAAGAATGAAATATTGCCATTCACAGGAAAATGGATGCAACTAAATATTACCATACTAAGTGAAGTCAGAAAGAGAAAGACAAATACCACATGATATCACTTATATGTGGAATCTAAAATATGACACAAATGAATCTATCCAAGAAATAGAAATAGACTCATGGGCAGAGAACAGACTTGTGATTGATGGAGGCAGGGGCTGTTGGTGGAGGGATGGAGTGAGAGATTGAGGTTAGTAGATACAAACTATACATATATATGGATAAGCAACATGTTCTTACTGTACAGTACAGGGAACTATATTCAATATCCAACGATAGACCATAACAGAAAATATAACAACTATCCATCAATTAAAAAGTGGCAGTTATAAAACAAATTGAATACATAAAATGATTTAGCAAGCAAATCTTATACACACTGCCATAACAGAACTGGAATATTATAAAGATAGAAGGTATATTTTTACTAATAAATTCATTCAAAAAGAAAATTTATGGCCTTCAAGTAACTTCAAAGATACCACAAAACATAGGAACAAGATCCTGTTATTAAAATCTAGTTTTTAACCAAATTTAAAATAAATACTTACAGTCATTTTGAGGAGCAACTTTCTTAGCATCTGGCTGATCTGCAAAATTAAAGAGTCTTTTAATTTTTTGCCAATAATATAAGACTCAGCTCCCCCATACCATATCAAGAACACCAATATAAACATTTATTGAAATAGCTGAGGGTATGGTTTATCATTTCAACCAAAACCACCAAAACTCAGCCCAAACACTTAGGAATCGAAACAAAGAAAACTACACTTCTTTCATGCTCTTCATGTTTAAAAGATGCACAGACATTAAAAGAAAATTCTTTTTACTGAATCAAATCACTGACCTTAACGTATGTCAATCACTTTAGAATGATACAAGAAAGTATTTAGTCCATTAGTTAGCAAAACATCACATGCTAAAGTCTAATGATGCTTCCCACTGTAGGAACTGAAGATTGGAAGGAAAAGAACCTATCAAAATGTGAAATCTTGACATATCAAAAGCTGAGTGTACCTGACAATGAACACAAAGCTATGCAAAATAAGAAAAAAAAAAAAAAATCACATTACAAGGCAATCTCAAGCTAAACTGTTCTACTGTTCCTAACCAAACATTTCACAGCATAAACAGCATAAACTTCAGCAGAAACTCAACAACTACATGACTTCATCTTTATCTACATCCTTTACACACATGAATACAATGCATTCCTTAGAATAGACAACCTACAGCTCAAAGTACTACATTCTCCTCCCCCCTTCAAACTTAAATGATTAAACATCAGAATGTTGTGCAGCAAAAATTCAGACACATAATCCAAGAAATATTTGTGTCCATTTAAGAATCCACTGGTTTATTTCACGTTTACATACTGAACACAGGTAATAAATAAAAATTCCTGCCTTTAAAAGGAGAGGGCATTCCCTCCCAGTGTGTTGTACTGCTCGGACTTGTCCAAGAGCCATCTACACATAAAATAAAAAGAATACATTACATACAACATCTGAAGCATCATTAGCTCATTTTTTTTTGTATATTAAAACCTCACTATAAATGTGAAAGACACTTAAATAAAAGGAAACCAAGTACTCCTGATCAAAAGCTACAAATACATTCTATAAGCTCATTCAGAATCCTCCTTTAAAAAAGAATAAAAGGGCAAAAAGAAAATGTATCAAAATTCATACATCAAATCTAAAATAAAAAATACGTGCAAACTTCTAAATTCAGAAGCTTCAACAATTATGTTTTTTTAAAAAATACAAAGCACTGTATATCTACTGTTTTAAGCCACATTTTGAGTTAAACCTGAAACACAAAACAAGGTACTAAAGCAAACAAAAAGGTAACAATGGTATAACCTGCAACACACGAAAGTAGCAATCTATATAGCAACTTCAACCTTTAAAGTGAAATCTAAAATAACAAAGTAATGAGAATATAGCATCTCAGATTAATTCATGTATGATGAGAAAAACCAGTGAAATGTTTCCTAGACTTTTACTTCAGTATATTAACAAGTTGTCTGTGCAAACTATCAATCTGGCACAATCCTAAAAAAGGAAAAATGATGTCTTCTACTAAGGCAAAACTGGCTGGTTAACTCAAATTTTACCTACCTTGTTTAGGTCCTCTTTTTACCCCCTCTCCTTCTGAGGCCAATATAACCCTTATAATTTTAGGAACCTTATAATAAAAGCAATGTTTCAAAAAAAGAACACTTGAAAAACAATGAAAATCACTTCAACTAGACTCTGTAAAACAATTTAAAATATTTATGGCTATAACTTACCTCCATCTTCCAAAGGTCTTTTTTGTCCCCCATAACCATAGTCATTTGAATTCAGTGACGTACCAGCATCACCTCCAATTTTTGCTGCAATCTTAAAAAACAAAAACACATCATCATCAAGGGAAGAATCATAGCTTTAACTATTCATTACTAAATTTCCTCACATATGCTAAATATCTATCACGTAGGAAAATTAACTTGATAGACAAATTAATTCAATTTATTACTATTAATAACTTCAGAAAGTTAAATAATCATCATCTGAAAGTTTCTCATATATCTCTATAAAAACCAAAGTAATCAATTAGAAATCTTTAGAAGACTGACTAAAGAACTGTGAGGAAAGTCTGACTCCTAATTGTATCTTCTCCATGACCGTGTGTTGGCACAGAGAGAAGAGCTGTGAACAGCTTATGAGATGCTAAGGCTATGCTGCCTAACAAGGTGTAAAACACTAGTCACATCTGGTCAGTGAAACCTTGATATGTCTAGTCCAAACTGAGATGTGCTTCAATTGTAAAAGACACACTAAGCAGTGACACTGTGGAACAAATAAAAAGAATGTAATGCATCCCCCAATTTTTATACTGAATAATTAAAATGGCAATATTTTAGGTATGTTGAGTTAAAATATGTAACTTGCATAATACTTCTTCTGGACAATCTTTTCCTAAGGAAACAAGGAGGTGTGGAGGAAACCTGGGAAGTTGTACATCTGTTATAGAACCATGTCCTGGGGCAAACGTCATTTAAGAAGTACCAGCTTCACAAGTGAGGCAAAACCAGGGGATATTTATGGCATTTTTTTATGAAAAAGGAAATGGAAGTAAAATTGCTGAGTGCCAACAGACCAAACTCTACACTGTAATAAATGTTTTATACTCATTTTGTCACTGAATCACAACTATTCTATGAGATAGAGTGCTTCTGAGATAATTATTTTACAACTGAAAAACATCTCAAGACGAATAGTAAGTCAATGGTGAAGTTCCAATTTCTACAGAGTTCCACAGAAATTACTGAAGGGGTAGTCACCAAAGATGGGTGATGCACTGATGCCATTCTTTGAATCTTGAGTTATGTTTGAAATTTCCCATGATAAAAGTTAAAGAGAAAGTGAAACTTTTGATGACTGGAATTCTTCCAAAGACAGATCTTGATGTGGAACTAAACCAAGTGCCTCAAGCTTCACTATAATTAGAAAACTGTGAAGGATAAGTGTATTTAACAACCTGAATTCAAAATGTATCACATAAGTCCTGATCCCATATACCAAATATATTTCCTAGGGTTCCCAGATTTCCCTTTTTGTCACCTGTAAATGCAAACACCCACTACAAAGCATATTAGGATTAAATATAAAAATGCTTGATAAAGACATATTTCTTGATGCTATAGCTTTGGTCACTCTAACCTACCTTAATCATCTTTCACTTTCTCAAAAGCTTATTTGTATATTTGATCTAATTAATATTATTTCTTGTTTTGAAAATTTTCCTCATCACACCTGAAAATTGCTTTTCCACTTCAGTTTTAAAGCAATGAGCATCTGAATTGTTGCAAAGGAACTTAGCTGCTGGGCACTGATTTATAAGGGAAGTATTCCAGGTCTGAGAAACAACAATATAAATGAAGGAAGTTTAGGCTGGCAATACCTTCTGCAATTAGCTTTTATAAATACTCTGAGTTTGCAAAGCAGCACTCCTTGAACGCCAAGGAACTTCTGCATAGAAAAGGGATACTTAATTGGATACCTTCCTATTTATTGAATAGTTCTAAAAATATCCAAATGAAAAATGATCATAAGTTCACTCAGAAGAACCAGTTAACACCATCTCAAAAATTCCAAACCAATACAAAAACATTTTGTGTGTGAAGTCGCTTCAGTCCTGTTCAACTCTTTGCAACCCCATGGACTGTAGCCCACCAGGCTCCCCTGTCCATGGGATTTCCCAGGCAAGAATACTGAAGTGTTGCCATTTCCTTCTCCAGGGGAGCTTCCCGACCCAGGGATCAAACCCACATCGCCTGCATTGGCAGGCGGGTTCTTTACCACTAGTGCCACCTGGGAAGCCCCTTCACTCAAAATGTCAGTGAAGAGCTTTTAGTAAAAATACCACTTACTATTCGATCAGTTAAACATACATTTGCTAGGTTACTTCACAGGATTAATTTAAGAGAAATAGTAATCCTTAAACTTCAACCTCTAGCTATACAAAATTCTTATGAGACCAGTAGAACTAAGTATAGGCAACTTCTTTGATTTTAATTTACAATAAGAGTGTTCTATTTCGACTCTCCTTACTTCTCAAAAGGGTAAATAATTTTTGTATTTTCATTGTTTTAGCATTTTCCACCTTTCTTCATTGATTATTCCTAGAATCCAAGAATTTTGGAGTTGAAAGAAAATTTGAGAGATTCAGTCATACCACCTAATTTTCAAGATTAAAAGAGTAAAACCACAAACAACAACAACACACAAAAGGCTGACTTTCAGAAGTAATTACCTAAATGCCCAAAATGACTATCTCCTAAGTTTCAGTCTACATACTTCCTTAGGCTTTGGGGTCCAACCGTGATTTGGGGTCAGTGGTAATTCTGGTTTTACTGCTTTGTGTCCTTGCCAAATTTCCTTAAGCATTTTGTGCCTCATTCATCTTCTGTGTACAAAAGAGATAAACAGTTTCTCCACTTACCTTGTAGGATAATTGTAGGAATTAAATGAGTTAATACACATATGCTTAGCACAGAGCCCTAATATGTAGCATATAAATTGCCAGTTACTATGAACAAGTCAGCACACTAGAATTCAACAATAATACAGAGTTCACAAGACTTCAAACGTTTGGTTCAAAAATTTTAACAGCTTTTTATTTGTACTGATCAAGGACATACATTTTGAAAGAATGCAATTATTTTCAAAACAAAATTTCATCACTAATTCATTAAAGATATGTTGATTCAATTTAATAAATATTGAGTACCTACTATGGTAAAGGTCCTAATGGACTGTTTCCATGCACCAGAAATGTGAAGAGGCTAGAAATATTACCAGGCCACCATTTCATTAATATTGTCCCCCTCTCTATAGTCCTAAGTCTTTATTATTATAATCAAGTTTTGCTATCCTATCTCAAAACATGTTACTAAAAAAAGCCCCCAAAACTCTCAAATGCTAGTTTTCACTGAAGAGAATAATGGCAAGTAAAAAGTCAAGAGTTCTATTTAAAAAATTTTTCTTTTTATTCAAACATAGTAGTCTGAATTACTTTCACAATTATCAAGGAAGAGGTTTAAAGAACTGAGTACCTAACAACTAATTTAATAGTTGTTTAGAGGGGAAGTGATGAGGGTTGATAATCTTGCTTAACCTGCAATCTACTACTCAGTCTCAGATTTACGTCTATCTTCGTATAACTTTAAGGGGAAAAAAGTAGATATATATTAATTTTCTAATGTTTCAGGGACAGAACTTATTATCAGTGTGATCACTAAATATCTAGTCAAAGAATTTCAACATCACCCTCTACAGATAAACTTGAAATAGCCAAATATAATTTCTAAACTATACCGTTGGAAACCCTAGAGAAGCAATTTGGTGCCCTTGTGTTAGATTTGGCTCACAGAGTATTATAGAATCTGAAAACTTCACATTTAAAAAGAAGTTATTAGAATTCTCTGGAAAAAAGACTGGGCTCCACTGCCAGATGGCAACAATCAGCTGGAGTAAAGGCTACTAGCTTTAACTAGGTCCAGGGTCCCGGGACCCTAATCATTTGTTCTGCTTTCCTGCATAACAAAGAACTGTTCAGCTGAAATGCCAATACATTTCCCACCAGTATGTAGCTCTTTGAAGGCAATAAGCTGTTCTTATACCTCTTCCTTCCAAAGAACATAGCATAATACTCTGGACAAAGAAAAGAAACTTAAAGTTAGATGGAGATTTTGGAAATACAATTCAGAATCCATTTAATACAAATAAGGAAAAAAGGAGTTCAAATATTAACCTAACTTGTTCCTTCAGCCCAAACACCTTTCCCTATACTCCACCTGAGTAATCAGACAAGCAGCTACAACCAATATATATGGAAGCATTCTCAGATACAATGAGAACGGGCAATTCAACTCAAATGCTAAACTTGAGAATATCAGATTTAAGGTCAATTCTGAAGAAATAATCAAATCACAGCAAAGACACTTGTAAACTCTATTGCAGGACAAGAAATCCATAGTTTGAGAACAATTTCTATATTAAAAAAGCATTCTAACTTGGTAAGAAGATTGTCTTCGGAAGTTGTATCCATCTGCACTTTTTCTTACCTCATTTTCCACCCTCCTTCCCCACCCAACCCTATCCTCCAATGACTTCACTCTCAGGTTCTCATTTTCCCCCAAACCCCCATACCTTAGTGCATGCTGCTTCTTTATCCACTGGTCAAACTCTCATTCTTTAATGCCTTGCTTAAAATACCAATCCTTTGGCCGTAGGGTACCCCACTCCCTTGTGATGATGTGTACAGTACCTGATTCACAGCAGAACTCTATAAATGTTTACAGAACAAACGGACGAATTAACAGTGCCTAAATCTTGTCTACGCTTTGAAAGCATTAATCAGATACTACTACTCTTTTGCATTTGGTTCCTTGACTATATCATGGCTTCCTAGAAAGCAAAAAAATCCAATTAACACATTTAAAAAAGTCTCCAGTATGGAAGTAGAGTGTACGAAACAAACTGATTTAATGCGCTGCCTGAATAAATTAATTCTGGTTGAGTCTTCTCTAAAAACCCCTCTAACAGGGTTGCTGTGATTATATTAACGTCTCGGTCACTATTTCAAACACGTTCAGAAATAGTAAATAAAAATTAGGTAAACAAATCGAATAATTAGTGTTAATGGTACCCCCCCCTGCTGACTACTTGGAAAATTTCTGATTATAAACAAGTACAGGTACATTTTTATTTATAATGTGTTCACATTATAAAAATATGAGCGATATGCTACATCACTGCAGATTTTATGGATTTTGAGTCAAATGATCCTTTAATCCAACTAGGGGTTAAAAAAAGTAAGTTAACGAAGTGAACTCCTAATGTTATCAAAACATACCACAAAATTGATTTCTGATTACCATTAGCTTAACACTGTATTCCAAAAATGTCTAGCATCTAATACGCATCGTGTCACGAAAATTCTTACTTTTACTTTAGACACAAGTTCATACCGACATCATACATTTGAAAATTACATGAAAACTACAGGAAGGTAAAGTTCAAATTAAATCCTAGAGTACAACGGTACTTCTTTTTTTTAACAGCTCCCGTTTGGGAAAGTGCCTTCAGGGCAAATGTACGCACCTACGTAATACAAAGAGTCCTGGTCAGTTTACGACTCTGAACTGAGAGGCAGATTCAAATTGAAACTTCGGGTAATGAGGACCTGAAGCCATTTTGAGAAGAGGGAAGGAGCCATAGAACACACGTTAAATCCCGCCCTAAGGAGGGATTCCAGCCCGGGATACTAGTGCTACCGTAATTCTCTTCCTTGAATGTGTGAAAGTGAATGATACCGAAAGATTAACTGCGGGAGAGTTCGAATGAGCTGGAAGCTCTAAAGACTGCTTTAATGACAGGTCCCATCCCTTACTATGGCTCCTACAGACGGACCCTAGTCCTTTCCCAAACTCATTACTAGAAGCTTCCATGCTATTGTGTAAAACTACGCGCGCTTTATCCCATGGAGGTGGATGTTCACTCAGAAGAAAAGGAAATGCTAACTCCTTGGAGAAAAAGGCGCGAGTACCGCAAAAGCTGGAAAATAACCTAAAGCCATCTTCGCAAACCATGCATTGGGGTTCAAAGTGGCTCACACACTAGGAACACAAAACCTGAATTCCAGCTTCTAATCAGTATTACCAACGTGGAGAAACGTGAGTCTTCTCACATTTCAGAGGCCGGAAGGGCACTTCTTTCCTCTTCCTAACGCGCGAAGAAGTAGCGGCCTACTCAGCCAGCGGCCAATTACCGTGAGCTGTCGGGATCCCGCCGCGCGGTCCTGACTTACCTGCCGGGCTCTCTGCAGTGCATCTTTGAAAGCATCGTTAACTCCTCCACCACCACCGCCGCCGCCTCCGCCACCGGCTGAGCCAGAGGAGGGTGGAGGCACTGTTGAATAGTCTGCCATGCCTACACTACAGTGGCCGCTACCGATTCTTCCCAGTGACCTCTCAGCCAACTGCTAAGAAAGAAAGAAAATGGCGGCCGTCAAGCCTGTATCACATTCTTGTGCGACCATCGTGCCGTAAAGGGGCGGAGACTGAGAGACGAAAATCTCGCGATGTTTTGAGGCAACGCGCTTGCTTGGGGGAGAGAAGATAGAAAAAGGCGAGGAGACATCGCGATAATTGTCTTTATATTTCGCGAGAATGGGGTTTACTTTGGCACCGCCTCTTTGTGCATCCTTGGGCTAAGGTGGTACGGTTTTCCTACTTGGGTGGTGGGTAAAGACTCGTGGGGCGACTGCGGTTAGGTTTAATTTTTGAAAGTCTGGAGGAAAGGAGTAGTGTCTTATTGGCCACCGCCGCAGGGAGTAGAGTGGGTGGATTTTTTCACCGAGGGTCATTCTGTTGTATCCTTGGGGAAGCAGGTGACGTCGACCGGCGCAACGGCGGCGCAACAGTGTCTCGTGAGCGCTGCGGCCGGGAGTGCGCCTGGGAGGGAGCGCGCCCCGGCCGCCGCCAGGTGATGCTGCCGAAAACGTCCGCCCGGCCTAGCGGGAATGCGGCCTGATTTTCAGGGTAGTAAAGTGTCCCTGTATTTTACTTCTAGATTGTCAGTTTGCAGTTTTATCACAAGCTGGGTGAATCCAGGCTGGAGGCCTTTAGTTCTAGAGTTTATTTCACAAAGGTTTTGTGTAAATATTTTGGATGAGGCTGTGACGACATGATTGCTCATTTCTTTAATTTTTAGAAATGTGATTGTTCCTAAAATGTAGTTTTTGCCGGACTTAGTAACTTAATATCGTATGTAACCATGGCCAGTTTCATTGAGGTCCTTATAGTTACGAACAGCATCCATTCCTTGACAAAAATTCCTTGTGGCTTCTTGGCTTCTTAAAAACACTGTCCCAAACCTGTGAGAACTCAAATGTAATTTACTGTCATCTGGGGACTAGGTGGTTATTCTTATGTATTTTCTGTTATCTTAGGTTACCAGATAATTTCCTTTTGGAGCATATCGTCACACGTAATTTACTGCAATGGTAGTAGTAGTTTAGACTCATTAGTAATAGTTTCAGACACATTACAGTGCTTTAGGAGTCTATTACAGTAATTGTATTTCCCTCCCTGCCCCCATGTTTTCTTCTTAGGTAACAAAGAATGAGGTAAAATGAACTTTACCAACTTTGGTATTTTGTTTAATGAATCAGTTCTCAAAGTTTTTGTTTAGTCTCTCAGTCATGTTTGACTCTTTGCGACCCCATGGCCTGCAGCACGCCAGGCTTCCCTGTGGGTCACCGTCTTAAGGAGTTTGCTCAAACTCATGTCCATTGAGTTGGTGATGCCATCCAACCATCTCATCCTCTGTCATCCCCTTCTGCCTGCAATCTTTCCAGCATCAGGGTCTTTTCCAATGAGTCAGCTCTTCTCAGCAGGTGGCCAAAGTATTGGAGCTTCGGCATCAGTCTTTCCAATGAGTATTCAGGATTATATCCTTTACAACTGACTGGTTTGATCTCCTTACTGTCCAAGGGACTCCCGAGTCTTCTCCAGCACCACAGTTCTGAAGCCATCAGTTCTTTTTTATTGTCCGGCTGTCACATTCGTACATGGCTACTGGAAAAACCATAAGTTTGACTATACGGCCTTTATGGGCAAAGTGATGTCTCTACTTTTTAATACGCTGTCTAGGTTTGTTATTACTTCTCTTCCAAGGAGCAAGCGTCTTTTAATTTCATGGCTGCAGTCACCATCTGCAGTGATTTTGAAACCCAAGAAAATAAAGTCTTAACTGTTTCCATCCTTTCCCCATCTATTTGCCAGGAAGTGATGGGACTGAATGCCTTGATCTTTATTTTTTGAATGTTGAGTTTTAAGTCTCATGCTTTTTCCATTGCTAGTCTTAAGAGTAATGGAGAGAAATATGTGCTGCAGTCTTCCTTACAGCTGAAGTTAATGTGTCCACTTGCTCAAGGCCCAAAATAAGTCGGATAACAGTTACATGCACGAAGATACATGTGGGCCATCATTCTCGTATTATTAGCTTTTCCTACCATCTTACAGCTCTGATTATCTTTTTCAGTGTGCAGCATGGCCATCTATTTCGCTATAGGGGAGATTTGTATTTGGAAAAGCAGTGCGTGTGTTGGGCTACAGATTTAAGAGTAACCGGTAAAAAGAAAATATAAAAACAGTGTTGGGTGGTATTGCTAAATAGACTTCCTTCAGTTGTTCTTTGAGAAAGTCTGCCCAATAAATGGCATTTATTAGTCTGTAATTGATTTTTTGATACTTTGTTAATTAGACATACACCAGTTAGTCCTTATTGACATAGTCACAGAGTGCTATAATTTACCTCCAAAGAGATAGACTTTATGTATACCACAATTTTAGTTACCTCTAAATATTAAAACATCTATTTCTGCTTTATTGACTGTGCCAAAGTCTTTGTGTGGATCACAACAAACTGTGGAAAATTCTTTAAGAGATGGGAATACCAGACCACCTGATCTGCCTCTTGAGAAACCTGTATGCGGGTCAGGAAGCAACAGTTAGAACTGGACGTGGAACAACAGACTGGTTCCAAATAGGAAAAGGACTACATCAAGGCTGTATATTGTCACCCTGCTTATTTAATTTATATTCAGAGTACGTCATGAGAAATGCTGGGCTGGATGAAACACAAGCTGGAATTAAGATTGCCGGGAGAAATATCAATAACCTCAGATATGCAGATGACACCACCACCCTTATGGCAGAAAGGGAAGAAGAGCTAAAGAGCCTCTTGATGAAAGTGAAAGAGGACAGTGAAGAAGTTGGCTTAAAGCTAGACAAATCAGAAAACTAAAATCATGGCATCCGGTCCCATCACTTCATGGCAGATAGATGGGGAAACAGTAGAAACAGTGTCAGACTTTATTTTTTGGGGATCCAAAATAACTGCAGGTGGTGACTGTAGTCATGAAATTAAAAGGCACTTGCTCCTTGGTAGAAAAGCAATGACCAACCTAGGCAGCATATTAAAAAGCAGAGACATTACTTTACCAACAAAGGTCAGTCTGGTCAAGGCTATGGTTTTTCCAGTAGCCGTGTATGAATGTGAGAGTTGGACTAGAAAGCTGAGCATTGAAGAATTGATGCTTTTGAACTATGGTGTTGGAGAAGACTCTTGAGAGTCCCTTGGAGTGCAGAGAGAGCCAACCAGTCCATCCTAAAAGAGATCAGTCCTGAGGTTCATTGGAAGGCCTGATGTTGAAGCTGAAACTCCAATACTTTGGCCACCTGATGCAAAGAGCTGACTCATTTGAAAAGACCCTGAAGCTGGGAAAGATTGAGGGCGGGAGGAGAAGGGGGTGACAGAGGATGAGATGGATGGCATCACCGACTCAATGGATATGAGTTTGAGTAAACTCCGGGAGTTGGTGATGGGCAGGGAGGCCTGACCCCCTGCAGGTGTGCTGCAGTCCATGGGGTCACAAAGAGACACTACTGAGCGACTGAACTGAGCTGAAATATTGAAAATAAGTAAAGGCCTCCATTTCCAGTTTTTTTTTTTTTTTTTTGGTAAAGCCTCCTGGAAGTATGGATATTCTAGGATGGGAACCATTTGAAATCAGTCAAGACCAGGATTTCTCTGCCTCAGCACTGTTGACACTTTATGACCAGATGCTTTGCTTTGTAGCACTACTGTGCATTGTAGTATGTTTAGCAGCATCCTTCGCCTCTAACCATGGATGCCAGAAGAATATACACCCCCATACCAAAAATGTCTCTAGATATTGTAGCTGTCCCCTGGGAGGCAAAATCACTGCACAATTAGGACCACTGGTCAGCCTTAATAGCTGCCCCTGATTTTCCATCAAGAAGACGTATTTACCATCCTTCAGCGGTATATTCTACATGCCACTACTTTTCGCCTCCACTGCTCCTGAATTACCATCACCACAGTCCTGGGCTGTTATAGTAGCATTCTAGATTTTCTGCTTTTACATCTCTTCAATTTACTTTTAAAAAAATTATGAAAGTTTGTACAACGAAGTATATAATTATATATGTAAGTTCTCAAAAGTAACAAGCACCCGTGCATCTACTTTCCAGGAAGAGTCTCCAAGAAACAGACCATGAACAGTACTTTTGAAACTCATTGCCTCTACCTGATTGTATTATAATTGTATCTTCATATAGGAGCTTAAAAGCTTTATTTAAAACATCAGTCAGATAGTTTCACCTATGTCTTTCCTACTGCACTTTAAATCCTATCTCCTGGAATGGCCTATGGGCTCCATACAATCAGGCTACTATCTAAACTCTCCTGTTCCTTATTCCACTTGAGCCACCTGGCTGCCCAAGATCATTCCTGCCTCTAGGGTTTTATATTTGCATTTTTCTTTACCTGATTCAGATGCTCTTATTGACCTTCACATGGATGAATTGTCCTCGTCATTTGGGTCTCAACTTAGATGTCATCTTAGACCATCTCTGACCTCTGGTTGTGCCATTTTGCAGTCACTCCCCAATTACCATGTTCTCTTTATAGAATTGATTGAAAATTCTATTATGTTGTATGTGTTAACTTGTTTATTGTCTCTGTTCTATTAGAATGTTAACTTCTGGATAGCAAGGACCTTGTCTGTCTCTACCATTGACTAGTCCCTAACATGTACGCTTACATATTTGTTGAATGAATGAATACTGAAAAAATCCACTTCCACATTTTAGTTGACTCTGTGATCTTGGTCAAGTGAACTTAGCCTCTGTGTCTCAGATTTCTCATCTACATAAGGATCATAATCTGTGTTGGTATCCTCAAATGAGATATCTCTGTGAGCTCTTCAGAAACCAGGAAATACTATCAAATGGAAATTGGCATTAAATGTAGAATTTGTCTTCTGGTTTTTCATAATGGGCTTCCAGGTGGCACAGTGGCAAAGAATCCACCTGCCAGTGCAGAGGACACAGGAGACGT